CTTGACCTGCACGCGACCAGCTCAAATTTATGGCCATCCCATCAAAATGTTACATTTTTCGCGTGCCCTGCGGCAGTTTCTCTTCAATGGTTCTTGGCGAACATTGCTCAACACTGCTGATTACCCGTATAAGCATAGTCATTAAACTACGCAAGATCTTTTACGTTTCACCTCAATTTTGTGCTATTCAAATACCATTCTAGTTATTTTGGTAATCTGTCCCTCTATAGATTAGCTCAGGGTACGTCATCATCATTTTCCAATGTTTGTACGCAACTACTCACACATAGTTTATATGAAAGTATTCAAATTCCTTTATCCCAATTTTAATTACAACTACGCACATGCGCGCGTAAACGTGCACGTTGCGGATATGATGAAAATACTATAATACATATAACGAACAAGTTTACGGCTGAACAAACCTCAGTTCATTTGAAAACCGACTTCAGTTCACTTGCTAGCTTACTAGCTAAATACGCAAACAAACTTTTTGCATTATCTTGCCCTCATAATCACATTTGCCTTACTCTCGCACTTTTAATACACTTTATAGCATTACGGAAATCCATGAGTGATGTATACCATGTGCGGCTTAGCATGTGAATAGCCTTATTCGAACGTAATTACAACGCTTTCAGCAGCTACTAACCAAATGAGTTTCTGACATAATCAAATCTTTTATTATTACTCTCCCAATCCGTCCATTTAGCTTATAACCAAAGTTCGCAGAGAGTAGTATTCAATTACGGCCAACTACAAAACTGCATTTAGTACATGGTAATGCGATTTGTATTGTACTTGGAATTTGTAGTGTAACACAAAAAAGGAAGGCACTAATTGCGTTTTTGCCACATTAATCCGTCGAAAGGATTGACAAAGAGATCGAAGGGAAGGCCCCAGATTTTCTTTAAATTTTGCACACACTTCTGGCATAGACCACAGATCAATTCCAGAAAAAATTAGCTCGCTCGTTGCAGGCCCAGCCGAGATATTCAACGATCTTTTGCAGCCGTGAGAGTGAACAAACAGCAGAGAGCGGTCAGATAAAAACACTTTTTGACCGTATCTTTGCCAGTTTTGCGCGGAAAAAATTCATTTTTTGTGGAAACGTCTATAATATTATATAAATAGATACGAAACTTCTCATGAAAAGAATTCGCAAAAAAATTGTCATATTTTTGCCAATTTTCGGCATCAAAACCTTGGTCGTTTCTGCAAATCGGAGGATCGCCTTTGGAGTACTTCCCTTGTGAGCAAGAATTTGGTATCAAAAAGTATCACAAAGACTCCAACTCCTTTGGTGTCTCTGCAATACTTTTTGATATCATCTTCTTGCCAGTACCCTACCACTTTCTACTTGCTCCGCAAACAAAAACGTCAAAACATCAACAGATATCTGTGCAGATAACTATCTGCAAATAGGGATATAATCTACTCCAAGATTCTCTAGCTAAAGGATTACGCGCATAGTCTGCAAATGGTTCAATTATCAGACATAATATCATCTTGTTTTTGCCACCCCCAAGGTTTGATTTAGCTCACAACAGGAGTGATGTTAGCGGATTTCCTTCTGCGTTCCCCATTGTCAAACATCTTCCGATGTTTTTACACTCTTCTCTGAAACCGTCTTTAAGTCTCCCACTTTGCAATCGCAAAACAAACAAGTTATTTTCGAAGGTTTTACATTGGACGTTCTACAGGTTTACCCTCCTTTCATGGCTACCTCTACGCACATGCAAATACCACGTGCGTTAAAAAAATTAAGCCGGCTTTCTGGCGATTAATTTCGACTAATTGAATCGTCTGACCTTGCTACAATTGGCGGTGATTAAATGGGGGAATTGTGGCATCACTTGATGTTTGAGCGCGCAGTATTTTGCACCAATTATGGCTTCTATTGCGTCTATGGCAATTTGCCTCGGCGTAGGGTAAAAAAGGATTACAATCTTGGATCCTTTAACATAGTGACAAAATCCAGCCATGGCGTAATCAACACAAAATTTATCAATACTACGCCTAAGGGAAGTGGATACCAAAAAACAGGTTGTAGGAGATTCCTACGAGGCCTAGAAAAGCCTCTGGATACTAGGCGAAGTCTTATAATGCGACCACTTCTTCCAATTTTAGCTAAGCTAGCCGTTTTCTTGATCCTATGTTATTGTATGGTGATCAACTATCCTAAGGCCCGATCAATCTTGTTATTTCTACTAACTAAGCGTTCTCCCAGCCTCCTCGATGCATACAACGACAAATCGAGGCAAAGGTATCGCCGACCCGAACTGTCGTTGACCAGAAAGTCGTTATTTATTTATCTAAAATTTGGTGTCAAAACTTCTCGCATTGACTCAAGGCGTTGAATTTTTTGCAACAGCATTTCCCAAAAAAGCCATTATTTTGCACGTCTCTTATTATCGCTGCAGAAACCCTCCATAATCACCAAAATTATGCAAAACTGCCCCATAAAACGTAAAAAATTGATGGGATCCTTTGCGATCACTTGTGGAAAATTTATGATTACGATGCAATCTCATTTTTTAAGTCCTCATTTAACTGAATGTGCCAAATCAACTTTAGCATCGGAAAAAAAAACCTACTTCCTTGTTATTTGCTATACAAAATTACTCATTTATGTTTTACAAGAAGTCTGAATAGCTTACTATGAGACATGACTCAAATTTACCGCATTATCCGGCTTGAGGTTCTACTGGACAAGTGGGCCAAAATAGCCTCCATTTACGCCCGCAAAAAAACTTGTTTGCCTCATGACCCAATTCCCGGTTGACGTTAATCCCGGCCCAGAACCCGCAATGTATAAATATCATCATTAACTTTGCGCCTGGCGCCTTTTGCGATGACGATGCTCGGTCAGTGGGGCCCCCCATGGCCTATCACACGCCTGACGCACGTCGCGGATGGCGCTAATCCTATTTTCGCAGCGATCCACTAATCTGGACGGCTTAATTACACAAATTTTGGGGCAGCAATTTGCTCAATTTACGCACATATGCGAATTACGGGCGGATTAGCGGTGAAGAAGAGGGATTGATGAATGTAATTAGCGAATGCAAAGCCGCGGGTCATTATGACAAATTCCCGAGCGTAAATGGGCCGGCATTACTGTTTGATTGCGCAATTGAGGGTGTATAAACAGCTTGAGGATTCCGAGTAATGAGGATTTCAAATGACACTGGTGATAATTCTGGGGCTACCGTAATCCTTCGGTTATCCTCATTCACGGGGAGCCTGGTTTGAAGCTACCGTAATCCTTCTATCATCCTGACTCAGAGGGAATCTGAGTCAGGATAACAGAGGAATTACAGTAGTGGTCGAATGATTGTCAACAGAAATAGAGAGTTACTGTAAGTTGACTACGATTTTTATCAACTTCAGAGTACCAACTAATACTATACAAAATACACTGTAAGAAACCCCAAGAAAAGGCACCAAGAGATTAAAAAACAAACCCAACAAACCTATAACACAAAAGCGAAAACTCAAAGAACTTATTTGTTATAAACATCGTTGGTATAACTAGGTTATTCTGTCCAAAAGCGCCGATAATGACAGGTGAGGATATTGGCTAACAGCAAATGATAGTTCATTAGAGAAAAGCGGTTCTTAGTTTGCAAATGTACCAGCCTGTCAAGAAAATAATGAGCTATGTCGTTGCGCCAATCGCGTCGCTGAAGTGGAGAGCAATCTGATTTTGCGCTACACAATTTGCCCCAGCGGCGATACGATAGAATGCTCATTATTTCCTGATAGATTGATATTCATCAAACCTCCTTTACATCAAACAAATTTTTAATTTCAACCCATATTCTATACACTATGAAGGTTACTTTAGACTTAGCTCTGTCTACATTCAACATCTATCTATTCCAATTATCTACTTTTCAAATATTAGAAATCTAAAAATATTCCGAACACTTGACAACCGAACGTCACCAAAAATGATCATTTAATTTGCCTCTACGCGCCGCAAAACATGACAATTCGTTCAAACGTCCAGACAAATTACAACCTATGTTGCCTAATGTCTCCCCAGCCAATATTATCGTCAATTTCCGGTGCAAAGCCTTTATAATTAACTAATTACCAATCAACTTCTACAAAATTGTTTTGTAATCGAGTTGTAAATCCCCACGGCGCTCTATAGGCGAGGCAGCGGCGAACGATTCCGCAAACGCCCCGCCCTTTAATTATCTCATTAAACTTCTCCAAAAAATCTCCACCCTCAGGCGGTCGGTTGGGGGTAAACTTTGGGGCTCTCCGCGAATCTAATCCTCTCTCGCCGTTTCGGCGTCGTTTTAATTATTTTCCTCTATTTTTCTACACTTTACACCCCGCGGCTAATCTGTGATTACGTTCGTTGTGGAAAAGGGGCGGGGCCCAATTGTGGGCCGATATCATTTCGAAGGTATATAAAGGCCGTTTGGGAATTGGGAAGGACTCGAAATGCCCTCAGGTTATTTACGGGGCTTCGGGCTCTGCCGTCGATGGTAGAGCTTCATGGTTATTAACTAATTTGATACTGTATTACTTTCTATAGTTCCCTTTTTTCCCGAAATTTTCTCTAAATTTCTGTGGTATACATCTAATAACAAACGCTACAGTATACCTCAACTAGTTACATCTACTGACTTCATAATAGCCTTTTGTGATCACTTTTTTACCTGTTTTCAACAACAGTCCCCATTTTTGGCTTCTTTTTTAATAATTGCTCTTATGTCATCGTATTTGCCTCAGGGCATTAGGCCGTTTGGTGCATTTTACTTCCCAAACATTCAGTCTTTATCCCATAATGGCGGATTCGCAGGAATACGCACTTGTTTACGACGAATCTAACACGATTACAATTATCTCCCCATTACTTTTTCTATTTTTGCAAATTTCGGTGACTACCGTGGCCAATCCACAGTATGCGCGTTAATGACTCTATTCACTCGTTTCTTACGCAATATTTACGATATTACTTTCAGATTCAAGCAAACACAATGTTCGAGCAATCCATTTTCAACGCTTCCCCATTGAGCCTTCAAATCCCGCTCTTCCCCACGCTGGACCTGCAGTCGCAGTCCACGTCGCCGGTGCAGTCGGTGAGCCCGAGCATGTCCGGCTCGTCGCCCTGCACCCTGCCTGCCCTGTTCGGTGCCTCCAACGAACTCGGCCTCATGTATCAAACCTTGTGCGCGAAGGAGATGACCAACAACATGGACATGCTTCTGAAGATCCTCATGCATGTGCAAACGCAACAAATGCAAAGCTCCATGGACCAGAACAAGCCCATCCGCAAGCATGCGTCGGCCAACGGTCGCCGTAGCCGTACGACCTTCACCACCGAGCAAATCAACGAATTGGAGCAGGTCTTCCAAGAGACCCAATACCCGGACGTTGTGGCCCGCGAGCATTTGGCCGCCAAAACCAACCTGACCGAGGGCCGCATCCAGGTCTGGTTCCAGAACCGACGAGCCAAGGCCCGAAAGGCGCAGCGATGTGTGTCATCAGCCAGCCATGAATACGTGTCCGCCTGTAGTTCGGCCTCTCCCTCGCCTACGCAAAAGTTGGCCTTCCGAGTTGAGGACATGGTCGTCAGCTCAAGGCCGCAATAATTTGTGACTTCGTTTCTAGCTGTTGCGCATTATCCACATCTTCTTCATGCCTTCTAATCCGGTATACTGTACTTTTTTCGCATCCTAGCCACCTGATTTCTATTCATAATAAGCGTTTATCTGTTTCCATCTAGTGTTAATATCAAACCCCTTCAATCCGCAATACTATGCAAGTATTCAGCTGTACGATGACCTAGTCACTACCCACGACATTCCTATATTGTAATACGACGATCTCGGTTAACCTCTCTCACCAATAATAATATTGAATACGTCTCTGCCAAATTGCTCACAACTCTTTTGTAATTACTTTTATCACGTAATAACTATACTTATTTAAACATTCGAAGCTTACCTCATAAATAAATAATAAAAAAGAACTTAATTGGCTACAATTATTTCAAGGATTTGGAGGGAAAACGTTGTTAAACAACATTAATGATGTCAAACCGAGTAAATTTAGTCTCCATAATAATATACCGTAAATTACACGACGTTTTGGGTAAACTAACTTTGTCTTTAATAACGTCAGGGAGTAAAAAAATGTGTCTGCACGGATCAAAAAAAAAGTGAAAAAGTCTCACTGCACGGTAAGGAAATTCCTCTTTTCGCACAGTGCCTTTTGAATTTGTCGCTAACGCACAGTCCGGCATTCTCTCTTTTCGCACGGTGCATTTTGAACTTGTCGTTAATGCACCGTGCGACATTTTCTCTTTTCGCACAGTGCATTTTCAAGTTGTCGCTAATGCATTGTGCATTTTCTCTTTTCGCACGATAAAAAAGCCATTTGCACGACGCAGCGACCTAGTTGAAACTTGCTTATGTCGAAGTGATATAGTATTTCGACGCAAACCAAAAAAAGGTGAAATGCACGGTGCAAAATAAGGGTTTTTGTAAACAGTGCGGACAACATTTCCACACAATTTATACATTTTTTTAAACCTGGGGTTTGAATTACCCTTCCTGAGGGCTGAACTCGGAGAACCAAGTGAAAAGCAATATGATTTTCTCCGTGGTACTGTTCATTTTCTCGGCAGCGATGCGATTTTCAGTGCGGCACTGTGCTCATTATTTTCCCGACAGACAGATAATTTTTATAAAAGCCTGTGAAAAGCATATCCGTGTTCTAGTAGTGCCAATTTAGACGAGTTTTCAAATCGCATACAGCGTCTTTCATTAGGGCATTTACATTGTTTTTGGTCATTCTTCGCCTTGGTTAAGATTCCTGTTGCTGTACACAACTAACTACAGCCATCATGGTGCGAAAAAGCGGCAAAATAGCCAAAACCCCGACCTTTTATCTTATCCTAGGCAATATTTCACGATACTGTATTTTTAAAGCCTTCTATATTTAATTCGTATACTCTTGAGACACTATTAGCTATATTGACATATGATGTTTATAATTAATTCACAAAAGATTGACTATTTCATCCAGAGATTACCAATATTTCCTCATCCATGATGATTAAGCTTTTCTGATCCGTAGGCAATTCCAATCTTTTGTAAACCTATAATCCAAACAGTCTAAATGCTCTATTACCAACATATACATCCATTAGAAACTATAGAATTCGCTGCAAAATCAAAAAGTCGTCAATATTTACCTTATCCATGATGACGACTTGATTTCTGATGTTTTTCGGTCATTCAACCGCTTCGAAATCCTATTCACGCATTGCTAAGGCGACATTAGTCCCACACACACTCTCTACTACCCGTTAATACGCATAAAATCGACCAAAATATCCGGAAATCGCCTTAAACACTCGATTCTTTACAAATTTCGGCTAAAAATGTCTAACTCCTTTCAAATCGGGGCCAAAAATGGCTCCAATTAGGAAGCCACCGTATTCCTGACGCACATGATGGTGCTTGCCAAAAATAAAAAAAGTTTCCGCGGAACTCGAAACAACTTTCTTCTCGCCGCTGACAGCAATTTGCATCATTTGTGGCCCATTAATAATATAATGTTAATTTAAGGCGCTCGAAATAGCGCCGACCTGCGTCAATGGGGCGGCCAACAGATTTCGGGATTAGGAGGGTTGGGGTGTGATAATCCGCCGCAAAATACACGGCGTAATTAGCGGCACGTTAATTAGCCGCCCTGTGCAACGCACGCCGGTCATGACACTGAGAGGCGCTCGGGAAACGGGATAATTAGTGCCGGCGAAAGGTGCGAGAGAGCGGGACCAGGAAGTTCGAAAATTACTTTACGAACCACCGTAACTTTCGAGCCAAGTAATGCTGCAAAAAACCGGCTGGAAGGCTGTGGGAAGGGCGGTTGAGCTTTTCGGACACAAATTATTGGGGAAAACGATCAAAGGCCCGGATTTTTGGCCAGAACCAATCATTAATCCGTCATTAATAGGGTCTAAAGGACCTGTAAAAATTTTTGACATCAAAGTTGTCGAGTTTAGAAGAAAAATTGGGCTAGAATAGCTAAAAAATGTCATGGATAATATAATTAAAAAATCAAATCTTACCAAAACAGAACAAAATTGATGTGGCAGCTTCTCCCATACTATTTACATTAACATTAACACCTAATAATCACAGTAGAACACAAAAAAATAAAATACAGGGTGGGCCACTCGAAACTGACAAGTTGTTTCTTTGAATTTCTCCGCGGAGACTCCACCGATTTTTCCAAAACTTATTATTTTCAGGCCGAAACCGCTAAAACTTGGAAATTTTTTGGAATGATTTTGAAAAATTGGTCATTTTTCCGACTTCTTGGGTGAAATTTTCTTTGTTTTACCTCAGATAGTTATCAAATATTGTTCCAAAAACAATTTTATTTAACGATCTGATTATTAATGTTTCTATCTGAGTTATTATGCCCACCTCCTCTCGCATCACAAACTTGCAGTGCCTTTGAGAGTCATGAGCAGCTAAAATTACGTATCGTGGATACGTAATTTTAATTACGTATCTGAGCTTCAAGAAAAATTTTATAAGTTTTAGCGGTTTCGGCCTGAAAATAATTTTTCAAAACTTTGAGAAGGCATGGAAAGGTTAATTCAAAGTATGTTTTTTTGAAATTCAGTCGGTTGAAAATGGCGGGTCTCAGCTCCAGAAAAACCTAAATTTTAGAAAAATCGGCAGAGTCTCCGCGGAAAAATTCAAAGAAACAACTTGTCAGTTTCGAGTGGCCCACCCTGTAGAAAAAATCGCACAGTGCAGAGACAATTTATCTCCGCACCGTGCAAAATAAAAGTAAAAAAACAAAACAAAATAACAGAAAAAGAAACTGAAATACATCAACAGTCATTTAGAATACAATAAGCATCAAAATTTTCGGCACTAATCTTTATTCGACGATAAAAATACAAATCAATTTAAGTGAAGGTAAAAAAATAGGAAAATCTATGGGAGAACCGGAAAATATCAAGTCCGGACATCCTTTAGCAAAAATCTGAGAGCAAATTCTACAAAAGGAAGACTAAACACCTGGTCTTGGCTGGAATTTGGAAAAAAGTTTGATATAAATTTACCAAGTGTAACATAAAAATTGATCAAATTTTTAACTTTTATGACAAAAATCGGTGTAATAAAACGTATTTTTTCCAAATTTATCAATTTCCTGGTAAAATACGGCGTCTTTTTTGCCCTTTTTTCCAAATTTCAGAAAAAATCCATAGAAATCTAGCAGAATCTAAATTTCAAAAAAATATTTAAAAACACTAACAGAAGATACTCATCGGCTCACGAAGATCCTCCACCAATCGATTCAGCTTGGCCTTGGCGACGGCTGTGGGCTGATCCTTCTCGATCACCACCGCCATGATCATGGAGACTACCCGGGAAGCGAGAAGAATGTGGTTGGAATTGCGGAGCTCGACCTCGCGAAGACGATCACGGCTGCCCTGACGATCGAAGGACTCCCACAGCTTGGCGGTGAACACGGCCAGAATGCTGTCTTGAGATCCGGAACCGGCGCGAGCCACAATTCGGCCTGAAAAGGGCTTTTGCGATGAATAACATAAAGAAAGCTCCAGAGTAATAGAAAAATCTAATTGAATAGTTTTATTAGGCCAAGAAGTATTGGCCACAGCAAAAAAGAAGTTATTTCAAGCATAACTGATAGGTTTACAGCACTTTTTCTCATGGATAATATATCATCAACAAAATTTTCAATTTCCGAACAGTTGGACGCCGCAAAACTGACAAAAAGCTTTCCATAGCTTGATTATGAGCTGCTCTACCTAATTTATTTCATACAATGTCGCATCTTCAGTTCCATACTGACTACATCAATATTTTTACCTTCACCATGTGAAGAGAAAAATATCCGCAAGAGGGCGTCAAACGCTCAGAAATCGCCAAATTTATTAACCAAACAGCTTTCGCAACCTCCTCCACCTGTTTATCCGTCCCTAAAGACCAAACAACAGCGAAAAACATCAAAACTTACCATCTTTATCAAATAAAATCGCACCCTGAACACCATTCCCGGTCGCCTGTTCCAGATATCGTTCGACAGCTTTGGTGCGGATCATAATTAAAGCCAGAAGTGTTGATTAAACCCGTAAAAGATGTGGTGCCGAACAATCGAAGGGAACTACAAAGAAAAAGGACGAAAATGTTTATTCGTGCAAGACTTGACGCGTGTTTGCAGGATTGGGTCAAGTGTTTCACTTTGGGGGAAATAGGGTAAAATACGGCTAAAGACGGTGAGTCTGTCGTCTTTGGAAGTTTTTAGAGTATAACAGAGGATTTGGAATATAAAAGGGGCTGTCTTGGAATAAATTTGATCAATAATTTGTATTATTCATGATGAATAACATCCAAAATGGCCAAAAAATTTTAGGATTCGTTGGCAAGATCGCTCAAATGATAGTCCAAGTCTTAAATATGCACTAAACAGTCAAAAGAACTAATAAAACACCATGGTTTCCCTTCAATTCCCCCTATATCCACCTTATAATAACGGATGTCATACGGCCCGAAACTGTAAAACTTTTTGAAACTGCTGGCTGAAGATGGTACTATGGCAACATACATTGGCCGTTGCACGTAATCGACTACAAAAATCAGGTTGTTATAGTAACCAAAACCCATATTCAATTACTTTAATGGCCTAGTACGTTTTGATGCAAATACGGTCATAGCGAATATTAAAGTGAGTCACAAAGAAACAATAATCCGCAGAGAGATGTTTGCTGCAGTTTATTGGAAAATAATGGAAAGAGATTTACAAAATTTTTATGTTTTCAAGTCATATTTCAAGTTCCAGAAAAACCGCACAGTGCAAATTTCTGAAGTCGCTGCACGGTGCAAAGCGCTTCAAAAATTTTTCCGATTTATTTGATGCACAGCCTGAGGGCAGAAGAAGGGACTATAATTCAAAAGTGCTAAAAATTTTACACAGTGCGAGTTTTGGCGTTGCGGGCAGCCACTTTGATTTACCGATTAGAATTACAATTTTTCTACCGTAATTAACGCAGTATGATGTAAATTTTGCTCTGGTAGCTCACTAGTACCGCTAAGCACAGAATCTATTGAATTCATCAACTACTTTCAAAGTTATGGGAGTTTGCTGCCAAAAATGGCTTTCCAACCTTCAAAATGCCTTTTTAACCTCATACACTCAATTTCAAAATGACAGACACGCCTATAAAATCTGCAATTGCGGTGTCGTGGTTTAGTTGACGGATACGAAACCTTTACAGATTGAAAGAGGAGGTTTGAAAACCTGAGGAGGTTGCTTGAAGCATCCAAGTCACTTATACAGGGTGTTTCAAGAAATTCCGCTGAAAGTCTTCGTCGATTTCTCGGTGCTCAGCCACGATATCCAAAAAATTTTTTTTTGCATTAGAAAGAAGGATATGGGCGGTTTTTTGCCTAAAAATGTCTTTTTCGGCGCCGACGCGGAATGCCGTGTATTCAGCGGAGACATTTGATCGCTTTTTTGACCATCACACTACCGAAGAGCTTTTTTCGGAACATCTAACTGCCAAATCCATCATCTGAATTTCCCATTGTAAGCATTTGTTGGGTTATTTCCAAACATGCCCGCAGAATTTCTGTGGTTCTTCGGGTTGCCCGCAAGTGTGGGCCCGCTCTTTTTTTCGCGTTTTCTGTCACAGTCTGAAAAAAAGTGATTTTTCGCTGCGAAAAATGTCGTGACGTCCGCAAAGTGCATGTCGCCAAAATCATTTCAACAAATCGGACATCAGCGTGTTGCCAAAAATATGCTGATAGTATGATGGTAAAAATACAATGTGGGACCTGATCCAGTGGCAAAAAACGTACAATTTTGCATCTGGGAAGCATCAAAAATGTGGCAAAATGCTTCCCTCTCCAAGTGAAAAAACTTTGTTTTGAATGGCGCGCCCTTTTTCCTCAAAAAAAGAGCGGACGCGCTTTTGAAATCTGAGTTTTTTTCACTTGGAGAGGGAGGTATTTTGCGACGTTTTTTGATGCTTCCTGGATGCAAAATGGTACTTTTTTTGCCACTGGACCAGGTCCGTCACTGTACGGCCCGGCTTTTTAGCGGACTTTTTCATCGAACGTGTCTACCGTAATATCGCTGAATTCCTGATGTAATGCATATATAAATATCATTTCCTGCTACGGTAATGATTATGTGAATTTGGCCTCTGGAACAAAGACCAGAATTGAGCTCAAAATCTCGAACCGCTCCATGGGAGCTGGGCTGCACCTTTTCGCAGGCGTTGGCATTCGAATTGTAAAAAGTGGAAGACAATCGAATTAATTAATTTGGCGAATGCGTTTCGTAGTCGGTAAACATAGGGCTCCCACGTTGTCCGGCATCTTTCGTACGAGGCAACAGAGTTCTCGGCAGATTTGGTGGGCTCTGGTTGAGCGACAGAAAATTGCTGAGTGACGGTTCGAGGTGACCCACGCATCAGCCGTTTTTTCCCCGACAGACTGTGAGTAGCTTTGGGTTGAATTTGGTTTGGTTGTCGCCAGAGATTGCCACGGCTCCGGAGCCGGCTCTTGGCTCCGGCTCTGAGCGGCTCCGAGCCGGGAGCCAGAGCCGGAGCCGGAAATTTTGGGTGCGGCTCCGGCTCCCCAGCCCATAGTCGGAGCTATATAGGCTTCTCAGCGTTCAAAAAAGTAAAAATTTCATGATCTTGTTAAACCAAATTGCTTGAAAAATACTGGGAAGGGTGTGTTGCATACGACTTTGGCCGCAAAAACGTTGGGTGTATGATCTCTGGCACTAATAACTTTTATTTTTGGAAAAATATTTTTCAAAATTTTTTTGCACTGGAGCCGGGATTCGGAGCCGGAGATCTTTTTAAAATTTTCATGGGAGCCGAAATTTTGACCGTGGAAATCTCTGGTTGTCGCTACTAGTCGCGCCATAAAGTCCCGACCTTGCGACATCCACTTTCGCGCGAGCTCACTCCAATTTTCTCGCGCGACACCCGCGACAAATTTGTCGGGACTTTCGACAAGTAGAAGTGCGAGGCTCACCAAACGTTGTGCCAATACGTTTCCCACGTAGCTACATTTTTTTCCTTTTATTCGGCCCGTGTACTCATACGTATGCATACGTATACCATGGTTCATGTGAGACCCTTAACCTTTTTTTTAAATATATTGCACGGTATACTACAGTCTAGTGCCAGGAAGTGCAGCGTTCTGTGGTATCTCTATTTTTTGAATTAAGTATCAATTTTTTGCCGTCCAATTATGGTAGTTACACTACTTAGCTGTCAGAGTTAGTTTTTAAACGGGGAAGTTTATCTTCATTAAGATGTTGGCAATGTAGTAAAGAGCTATATATATTTGTGCGCTACAATTTTGCAAGCCCCTGAAATATTCCGTTATTGCAACTAATACGGCAGAGTAGGTGTGTAATACTTTGTGCTCTACAACCCAACTTTTTACTGTCAATTTTGTTTTACAGAGGGGGGAGTGGTCTTAAAAGCGATCTTAATGAAACTTGGCAAACATTTAGAATATTTTTTCTAAGGCATAAGCGAGATTCGTAGCTCGCGCTTTGCAGAAACAACCGAGGTTTTTAGTCCGAAAATTGCTCAAAAATCGGAACTTTTTGAACGTGTTGATTTATATCAGTCTGTCGGAAAAATAATGAGCAAATTGAAGTGAAAAGGAAGCAGTTTGATTTTGTCGCGACACAATTTATTTTCCTGGCTGTGATGCGATTTTCGATGTCACAGAGGGCCCATTATTTTCCCGACAGACTGATAAAAAAATTTAGGTCTAATTTCTATGCCACAGCGCAACTTTTCCACTAACAATTCAACTGTTTCAACATGAGATTTGCTTATTAAGACCAACGCAGTTTTCCCTCTGACCGCTCTCCGCATTTCGCGTGCTCTCTCGGCCGCAAAGATCGGTGAATATCTCGGCTCTCCCTGCAAAGAGCGAGCTGAAATTTTTGGGAATTGATAAGTGGTCTATGCCTGATGTGTGAGTTAACAGAAACTCTAAGCATCGGGCGTTGGGCACTTTCCTGCAGACCTGCAATACGGTAGTTCCCGATTTTAATCGTTTAAAAATGAACAGTTGTGCCGCGCACCAAACATGGGATTAATTTGATTGTCGGGTGTATTACGAACCATTTTAATTCGAGTAGACATGTTTTGAAGTCTCGGTCAGTCTGCGTAACATCCGGGTTGGCCATTTTTTGGTCCCATTTCTTTCCGTAAATAAGCACAGTCTGTCGGGAAAATAATGAGCACTCTGTGGCATCCAAAATCATGTCGCCAAAAATGAATTTTGTCGCGGGAAAATCAATTTTCTTTTTACTTCAGCGACGCGATCGGCATAGCGACATTGTGCTCATTATTTTCCCGACAGACTGAGATTACGGTTTTTCAAAAGTGCGTGGACTTTTTTCGAGGGGCCGCAATGTTCAGAAAACCCCATTTTGCACTGTGCAATTGAAATAGAGTGACGGAAATGGTCCAGGGGCATAAAACGTACCATTTTGCATCCGGGAAGTATCAAAAAATGTGGCAAAATGCCTCCCTCTCCAACCAAAAAAATTCCGTTTTGAAGGAGTTCTCCATTTCCCTCGCAAAAAAAGCGGGCGCACTTTTGAAATAGGTGTCTTTTCATTTGGAGAGGGAGGTATTTTGCTGCATTTTTGATACTTCCCGGATGCAAAATCATACACTTTTTCCCACTGAATCAGATCCTGTAATTGACAATTTAAATTATTCGTATATTAGGGCCCTCTCGCTCACAAAAAAGCGGATTTTTGAAATTGGTGTCTTTTCACTTGGAGAGGGAGGTATTTTGCTGCATTTTTGATACTTCCCGGATACAAAATGGTATGTTTTTTGTCACTGGACCAGATCCGCCACTGTATTGTTTCAAAAAACGCCATTATCAACGGAATCGTTGCGATTTTTCTGAAGCGATTTTGAGTGAAAATGCACCTGCATGATGCCATCATGCAGCGTGCAAATGTCCAATACACTTTATGAAAGCACTAATATTTTGCAATTGTGTTCTACTGTTGACCTTCTCTTATGACAGCATCACCCCTCACATTTACTATTATAATTACCGCGGTTTATAGCTAATTCTGGCGTCCGCCCCCAAGCACTTCACAAGGCATTTGCTTTTCAGTGTTTGTCATAGTAACAGTTATGACCACGCTGGAGTTGCCGTACCCCAGCCACAGTAATTATTCGAGTGTAAATTGCCCCGAGCTCACTCCACAAATATTTTATGGAGTATTGTTCGTGCTGTCATGGACGCTGAATGTGTTGTTGTTGTACCTTATTCGGAAGTACACAACCTCTTCGATCAAGCTGTACACGATTGTCATGAAGACGTCGATTTATGCGGATTTGTATTCGGCGACTGTCCAGTTCTTGGTTCAAATGGTAAGTGAGATATGGAAAAGCACACAGGGAGTGTATTTTCTGTGACATATAATATTTACGAACTACTGGTATATTTACATATTACTAAAACAGGGAAGAACTCCAAGTGCGACGATCAGATTTTGGCGAAACTTGGTACAAATTTGGATTAATTTTTTCTAAAGTATATGCGAGATTTTTAGCTTGCGCTTTGCAGAAAAGACCGAGATTTTTTGGTCGAAAGTTGGCAAGAATATGAGACTTTTTTGTGGATTTTTCTCTTGAAAAGTTTCATATCTATTTCTACTGTAGAATGTAACCATAAAAAAATTCAAAAAAAAGCAATTTTTCCACAGAAAAATGGCAAAGATACGGTCAAAAACTGTTTTTCTCTAACCGCTCTCTGCGTTTGGCGTACTCTCTCGGCGGATTATTTAATATCTCGGATTTCCCTGCAACTCGCGGCCTAAAACTTTGAGGAATTGATATGTGGTCTATCCTCGACGTGTGTGCAAAATTTGAACAAAATCTGAGCGTCGCACGTGAAGTAATTTTGCACATAATAACTGCGAATAATGCGAATTTCCAACGCCGTTTGCGCCTCGAAAGTCTTCTGTACAACTTTAACTAGTCTTTCATCACTGAAACAAAACGTTTCTGACGTTTTTTTAACCATCATCTTGATTTTTCAGCGTGCCGAAAAAGTGGGAGAAGACCAGATTCTGGCCTACTCATTGGACGGCTACCTGCCTCGCCTCCTAAAATACATCCCCTTCTTCCAAGGAACGAATATGAATTATTTGTTATTGTTCGATTACATTGGTTGTTATTTCACCTGGGGCTACAATTGTGTGCCTTTTATTTATCGCTACGTCTTACTCTGCTGGTAGGAGAAAACGATGATTTTGCGACGTCAAACATGCGTTTGTAGGGATAAAAGGATGGACAAGTACGCGTTTGGCGCTTTGATCTGTCTTCTGTTGGCAATAAGTGTTGCGACGGCGACTTGTTTGATATTGCCGTCGCATGCAATTTTCGATTATAACCATCAAATGTTCGAGAAGCCGGATCCGGAATGTGTGGTGAATTTGGCAGTATTTGATGAACTGGTGAATGCGGATAGAACTGTAAGAAACTGCTATTTTTAAGGGGCATGATATCAGTCTGTCGCGAAAATAATGTGGAGATGTCGCAACAAAATTACCTTGTCACTGTCACAGCAGATCCTCAGTCGCGGCTAGTGTCCAAGGCGGAATCCACATTATTTTCCCGACATACTGCTAGTAGTTCTACGCTTTTCGAAAGTGCATAGACCTTTTGTAGCTAGTCCAAAAACCCCATCACGTCAATCCAAAATAGAAGAAAAAATTTCCCGCCCCTTTTTTGGTGATTCGTTCAAAACGAAATGTCACTATCCGATAAAACGCATTTTCTTAATTTTCTTCTTCCTTTTCGAGAAAAAGCAATTATTTCGGGCGAAAAAAAGTGTCGATAATTTCGCGACATTTCGTCTCTCTTTATATCAATGAAAACGATACGAAGTTTCGAAACGGTTCAGCAAATGCGCTAGATTGACGTGCCCATTAGTTTTCCGACCAAAAAATATTTTTCTCGGAATTATTTTCTTTCTTTTGTCAATTTTGACATTTCGTTTTTGACGAAACGCCAAAGTGGGCGGGAAATTTTTTGCGCCTTTTTCAAGTTGTCGTGCTTTCGTCTAGCGGCGAAAATCGTACCGAACTTTATGGAAATGTCGTCTGTCGGGAAAATAATGTTGGAGTTGTCGCAGAAAAATGTTTTCTTCGTCGCTGTTGCAGGAAATCTCCGGCTCTCGGCTAGCCGTCGCAAAGCGATGAAGGGCGATTCCAAGGCACGAAAATCCACATTATTTTCATTACGGACAGGTATTATCTATCGCTTTTTTTCAGTTCTACCTTGTGTTGTACCACATCTATCAAAAGCTGATCAACGTCCTACTGCTCTCGTTTGCGGTGACATTCTTGATCAGCATCCGAATTTTGATCTTCTTAGCGATGCACTCGGACAACAACAAAGATAGAAAGCGATCAAACAGACAGATCACATTTGTCTTGCTGTTACAGGTAAGGAGATTCGCGTTGCTTTTGAAGCGTTTGATATTTTGATAAAATTTGGCCAGTGACATGTTCTGGAGGTGTTCTTTAACTCTGTTTTGTACTAATTAATTATTTGTATTCATTATTACTCCTGTGAGAGCCAGATTTAGAAACTCTCATGCGTATAGTCTTTAGACCAAACTTCTTTCCCAATCCATGAGTTTTTCTCGGGTTTAATTTGAGCTGGGAAAAAGAAATGAGTTCCTCAAAACCACCGTAATTTTGTTTCATGCCGTTGACTGCTTTAATCGTGCCTTGGGAAACAAAATAAAGATTTCCTTTGTCTACTGTACCAATAAAAACAGAAAAAATTGATTACGTTTTACTTATTAGTCTTTGCAGAAAGTGTGTAAAATTTTCGCCACGAAGCTTTCTGTTCTGACGTATGCTTTTTTCAACTAATTATTTTACTATTATTTGCAATTTGCAGCTTTGTTCTGACCCTTGAAACTCACTTCTCACAATTTTCCCACTTTTTCAGGCCCTCGTACCCTTCATCGTCAATGGGCTTCCAGTTTTGGCGATGAACTTCGTAGCCAGCTACCTCAAGATCAACATGGAGATCACTTTCAAGTTCTACATTTCCTCGTTTATGGCAGCGCCCGTCCTCAACCCGTTGATTGCAATCCTGTGTATTTCGAACTATCGCCGAGCGCTGCTGCACAAACTGGGGCTGTACAAGGGAAAGCGGGGGCCGGACACATTGTTTGTTCGGACCATCAGTAATGTGACGGTTGGAAAATAGCAGTTAATAAAGATGGTTTCGCTGATTTTTTTGATGATGAAGTATCAGTCTGTCGGGAAAATAGAAGACAATGTTTCCACAAAAAAACGAAATCTTTCACGCGAAACTGCCGAAATTATGGCCAAATAATTAAAAATTTATTCAAATGACCGGTTCGCAAGCACATCACCGTATGTATAAATGAGTATGTATAGGACGACAGTTCCATTTTCCGCTTTTTGACTCCACTTTTTAAAGACCGGGCAGTTTGAAGCCCAACACTCGGAGGTCCTCTCGAACGGCCTCTGACACGTCCTTTACAACGTCGGCCATTCGCTTCTCTTCGTCGGCGATGGTCTGCTCGTCGTTACGGTAGATGGCCTGAAATGGAACGTTGGTTAATAGCGTTCGCAATCAGTGTAAAAATTTTTGCTGACTATTTTTATCATGCGATCTTTGAGAAGGATCGTCGCTTTGATACATGATGCAATATTGTTAAATTCATGGTAAAAAAAGCATGTTCTAGAAAAGTATGAAAAGATGACAAAAAATGTAACATTCAAGGCTCTAAAGGCTTGGCTTACATCGAGTTTCAACAAAGTGGCAACCGATTCTTGGCTGAGAAGTCCCAACGAGGCGTTCAGACGGTTGATCCATTCAGCATGCTTCTGCTGTTGCTCCAGGGCGTATTTCTGAAAAAGGAAAAAAATTCAAATTTTTGATGACCTAGTAGGAGTATCAGTCTGTCGGGAAAATAATGTGGATTTTTCGCAACAAAAATTTCTTGCCTCGTCGCGGTAGAGCACCAAATCTCCAGCCGCGAATGGTCGATGATGGGCGATTTCAGAACGCGACAGACCCACATTATTTTCCCGACAGACTGATAGCAACAGTCAATTTGAACTACATATTGCCTGCCTAGTACCCGCAAGGACTTCCCCGACTTCCGCTTACTCTAGCCTTCCCATTCAATCGATCCATGACGACCTTGAAGGCCATGTAAAACTCCCGTTTGCTCAACACATGCTTCATCAGCCGCAAGGTTTCGATATCCTGAATGACATCGGGTTCCTGGCCGTGCTTCAGGTTCTCCAGGACCTCGTCAATCTCATCCGGCGCCTGCTCCATTGGAACGATTTTTGGGGGCGGTGGCGGGGCCAGCGGCAGGATCTTGGGCGGTGCTGGGAACTTGTCGCCGTTGAAGGCGGCATGGAACTCCGGGAAGTCTAGGCCGTCCTTCGTGGACGCTGGCTTGGCCCACAGGCAGGGTAGGGCAAGGAGAAGGAAGAGGGCATACGACGACATTGTTCTAGTCGGGTTGTATACAGTGTAACCTTTAACCGTGCAAATTGTAATTAAAAACCCGTTCGAAGTAAAAATAGTACAGCAAAAAAATTTGTAAAATACGCAACGTGAAGGGATGTTATCTTATAAAAATATGATTTTTTCTTCTACTATTATAAGAAAAAATTCGAATAAAATATCGGTTTGTCGGGAAAGTAATGAGCACTTTGTGGCACCAAAAATCGCATCGCCGTCAAAAAACATGAACTGTGTCACGGCAAAATCCAATTGACAAGACGGAAGAGAATGTTTCTAAGGGTGCAAATGTCCATCACTCATCCGTGAACGCATGCCACAGTAAATTGATTACTATTATAATTTCTTTTTGTTTTGACGTAGAAAGAGGAAGAAATGCAAATACACAAAATGTGTTTTTTTCATAAAGTGCCTGCACATTTTGTCGCGGTCCGCACTGTGCACAAAAACCCTCATTTTGCACCGTGCACTTCACCTTTTTTCGCACTGTGCATCGAAATATTGCTGATCTTTTTTGAGGTTTTCACGGTGCGCAAAGAAAAAATGCGCTGTGCGTTGGCGACACACGTGAGAAAAAGTTCGAAATGCATTGTGCAACAGCGAAAAAATGTCCATGCACTTTATGAAAACACTAGTAGGCCAAATTGACACTCCTATATGAAACCCTTCTACTATCACATATATTCATTAGGCATGCATGAGAAAATTAAGACGAGGTAAAAATTTCAAATTTACCATGCTCAAATGTGAGATTCACTTTGTTTATAAACCCCAAAATGTAGACGGTTCCGTGTCACAACCAAAATTAAATATAGGGTAATTCATATTTCATTATTGCCAGGTGTCTAGGACAATAACAACAACTACTTTTGGACATTGATATATGACGACCGTGTCACGAAGAATGAGATGATGAGGAAGTAATGTAATCAGTCATCATCGCAAGCTAAGGCGTTCACATTTATCGCTAAAATTTTTATTCTAAACTTGTGCCAAGTTTCATCAAAATCCCAGCCTTACAACGCTGACAATTCTCTTCGATATTTTTTACCCACACCTTGATTACAATTACAATTTTTTAGCCCCGATCCCAACTTGTTAGCCCAACCGCTAGCCCTGTCAACATCTCTAAACTTCAGAAGCGCTTCTCCGCAGTATAAATCGCCCTCCGGGAAGGCACTTAAACTTCCATAGAGCAGTCGTCAACAGACCTAAATAGACCGATCTTCAGACGCCACCGTCCTATGACCACGACAATTGGGAGAAATGCGTCGGTCCAAGGTTCCCGACTCTCTTTCATTTACACTTCATGATAGATCACACAACATCAGGCGATCGCAATTTATATGTTTGCAATTTTACAGCGCTTTTGTTTTCCAAAAACTTCTGACCTTCGCCGTGTTACAGCGACAAGCGGCCATTTCTCAATGTTATTTTCGAAAAGTCAAAGTAATCAGGGTTGAGTCGGTAAAAACAGCGGGTTTATAGACTGCCCGCTATTGTCAACAGCCGTTGAAACCGATCTTTGATCTATTTTTGAGCAATTATATTACACTAGTCATCAAGGAGATGAAAGTGCTATATTAGGACTACAATGTGTTTAAGATGGCTGGAATTGGTTTCGAAAAGATTCCAGAGACAAAGGAATGCCATCAAGGCTTATTTGGTATAATATTAAATTCCATAACAAGCCGAAATACCATCCCATATTACACTAGGTATCAAGTATAAAAAATACGTCATAAAATGGCAACTGTAAATCGTAGTGGCGAACTACGGTCTGAATAGAATCTCAGCATCATGTCAGCTCATATGTTAGCAGCTCAATCTCAAAATCTTTCTGTAACATCAATAAATTACGTCCAACATTACATCAGGTCTCAATGAGAAAAAACCATTTTAAATGAATCAAGGAAAATTATAAACGGCTCAATTAAGTCTCAATGAGCAGCATATGATCTGCCAAGCCCATAAATTTTCACTTCAACCAGCAAAAATTGCAGTATCATAGAGGAATCGCCTCCGATATTACACTAGGAACTCCACGTGAAAATCACAACAAAAGTTCAGTGAAATTTAGCAAAACAATTTAGCAGGCTTTATTTTTCACGCTGTGAAAGATCAAAAAATATCATGCCCTTTTATTTAAAGGCCATTGGATTACTGTAGTTCGCGAAATTAAAGGTGGATATTACACTTGATTTTCAAGGTGAATAATGAGGGGAAAAATGTTCACAAAACCGTAGTTCCGTTCCAAAAAAGATTTCTTGACATCACAAGATCATTAAGAGTTCAATACCAACGAAGGCGCAGTAACATTTTGCTGTTTACAACGATTTTTTTCAGAAAAAAAAAGTTTAAACTCAATATTAACACTATAAATAAACCTTGGATATTCAATATTTTTTCACATAACTTATTGTTTAAAATGTCATCAAAACAACTCAGAAGCACTCATATTTCAAATTAATTCCTATATTTACCGATAATCACACTTTTGTCACTTTCGTATAAAATGTCGCCGCAAGCCGCGATGAGTCTGGGCGCAGCTCGAGGTTCCCAAAAATTCGCCATTTTATTTTTCTCGACCTTGTTTTAGTTTTCAGAACGTTTCTTACCTGTTTTAGTTCATTTTCATTGTATTTCCCACTTTTATCGACTTGTTTTGCCTGTTATATTATGCTAAATACATTGTTTTAGGTAGTAATGGGAAAGCTACACGGAAAATTGATCAGAGAAAAAAGACAGGCCAAAAAGCAGGCTCAGAAGGAAAAGGCCAGACGAGGAGTTGTTCCAATTGTCAAGAAGAAGCAGGAGAACCCGAATGTAGTTGAGAATTTAAAGAAAATTCCCAAAGTTGACGATCTCCGTGAGCGAAAGGGAATTAAATGTATTGAGCCGGAAAAGGAGATGAAAATCCCCAAATGCCCTCATGGTAAGTTTGTTTTTGACTTCTATTTGCTCTCCGTTTAGGTCCTTGCCTCTTATTCACTGATGGGCAGAAGAAATGGTTTGGATGTTCGATCTACAGATCAAAGGATCTTTGCAACTATCAAGTGGATGTCCCAGCTACGCTAAAATATGAATTTGAGGACGCGAAGCCTCTTAACTACCCTTACGGCTATGGGAATTCAAGAACATTGTTTGAGGAGGCCAAAAAGAAGAAGAAAGAGCTTTACTGGTGCAAAAGGTGTTTCGCTTATGTTCAAATCCCTCATAATGATCCAGTGGAAGGGCCATTGAAGGAAAAGGAGCTGAATTTGATCGGAAAGTTAATTCAGGCTCCTAAGAAGGCCAGTGATGGAGAAGCGGTAAGGATTTTAGAGCGAAAAATTTATAATTTTTATTAATGGGCTAGTACAATATAATGGATGTCTGATTTCAGCAATACTGGTTTACCGGTGATGTCCTCAAAGTTCTGGCTGATAATTTGAAGGACTATGATTCCATTTTATGCATCGGTTGTCCTACTGTTGCTGAATTTGTTCATGACAAAAAGAAAAATGTCTTCTTGTTGGATTATGATCATAGACTGGTATGTTGTTTCAAGATTAGTGTTTTTCTTGCTTTAGAAGACGTATAACGCCAATGTGAGCCCTGAGAAGTTAACTGATATCACTTATTTCAGTCAAATTTCTATGCTCCACCGAAATTTGCTCATTACAACCTCCTTGCTCATCATTTTTACGAATCGGATGGGGTCGATTTCCTCGGCAAGTTCTTCAAAAATGCCCTCAGGACATTGATTGTTGTCGATCCACCATTCGGCGCCCAAGTGGAGCCAATTGTTCGAAGCTTGCAAAGGATTCAGTTATTATACAAGGAGAAGAACCCATCCGGAGAGTTGACTCAGCTGGTATTCTTGCCCCTGTTTTTGGAGAAATTCATGCATGATTACAAAATGTTGGACTTCAAGGTGAGAATTTTGATTTGTTTTGTTGATTTTTAGGGTAAAATACGAGAGGTCCCGCTGTTTGAATCCCAGCTAAAAATTCGATTTTTTTGGATATTTAAATGTCCTAGAGATCAATTTAGAAGTCGAATATGTTAAAGAAGACTCAAAAAATTATTTCAGGTCACCTACACCAACCATCGACAATATTCGGACCCCAGAAAAACACCTGTTCGTATGTTCACCACGGCCAAGGATATGAAGAAATTTGTCTTCCCAGCTGAGGCAGGATACAAGTAAGTGATTATAAAGTGTTTGGATCGGAATTGACCAGTCTGATGTTGTTTTAGACATCAAAATTTGATTTTTTCATCTAGTGTAATATAATTTTTTTCTGAAAATTGATTTTAAAGTCTCTATAATCGAAGGATTTAATTTGTAATATGTTTTTCAGACTCTGCAAGAAGTGTTCTCGATATGTGAGCGCGGAAAATGAGCATTGCAGAAAGTGTAATTCGTGCACAACGAAGATGGGCCCAACTTACAAACACTGCGATATGTGCGAGAAATGTGTGAAACCAACCTACAAACATTGTGTAAAATGTCTCAAATGCCATCTCCCCAATCGATGTCTGGCGCAGGACCGATAAAATTAACAGTGTTGTCTAGTACAATATTATTTTTACTTGTTAATTGTTGAAATCCCCTTGTTTTCTTGTTGATTCTGTTGAATAAAGTTACTTCAAGATGAATGGAGCATATTAGGGTGGTTTTTGTTGTAGCTACGATAAAAAATATTTTATAATATAGGGAAATTTATATTAACCATGAAGAAAGTTGATGTTTTTACTGTTGTTTATAGCCCAATAGGGAGAAAAATTAGTCGATAGAGAGCTCAAAGTACCACCACATTCGCTAAATGACCTCAGGGCTCGGAAAATAAAAAAACTCGTCTCTTTTCGCATTTTTTCGCAAAATTTTTTTTTCGAGCGCGAAAAAATCCAACACGTGTACTAAAAATACGAAGGTTGATGTTTCAGAGGGTTTATTATTCCTTTTTTATTCGATTTCCAACGAATTTGATTTTCAAACAGCTCTTTTAAAATTATATTATACTAGACGATAAATTTTGATAAAAAATTCGTTAATTTCTCGTAAAAAAAAGTGAAATCAAAGCCAATATTAACTGAAAATGCTATAAACTTTCTTTTCCCATCTTTTCTCGCTATTTTAACTCTATTTTTAATATAATTTATATTACACTAGACATCAGATGCGAAAATTATTTTGTTTTGCTCTTGTTTGAACGGGCAGTTTGGTGGATTGCTTCGTAAATGATACGTGGACTTATTTCAGGGTTCCAACAGGCCGTTTCCGCCGACTTAGCCAATATTTGGCTCTAATATCAGATAATGTCGTATGTACAAACACTTTTATGTAAGTTGTTCAGTTTTTCTTGGTTTTTAGGCAAAAGTGGTGTCCAGAGGCAAACTTGGAGCGAACTTTGACTAAACGAACTGATTTCTTCAATGAAAACTATGGTTTTGAAATTTTTGTTACCTAAATTTTACTGTTTTGGGCTAAAATGCTTTAAATTTTTGGATGTTGTGTGGAAAAATGTTCCCAATAGCGAAGTTATGCTGTGTTCAACCTGCAACGTCTCAAATTTCCCTTCATTCTTGCTTTGATTTTTAAAAATCGTCAATTTTCCTCACCTGGTCTAGTATAATATAATTTTCTGTATTTTCAGTCGGTTCAATATTCTCAGCGATCTTATTCGGCTATCTGGCCAACCTTTATGGCTTCAACCTTCCCCCACCAAAGCCAAAAGCTGTTGGAATTGACTTGGGGACGACGTTTTCATCAATAGGAATTCATCAGTCCGTCAATGGAAAAACTCAAATAATTGCGGACGCCTTGGGGAAGAAATCAGTCCCAAGTGTTGTCTCCTTTCTGTAAGTAATTTTCAATATCTTTTTCTGAAGTTTAGGAGGCAAATTGGCAGTTTTTTTTATATTATCCATGACGGTTGAACCCGAATTTTTTGTAGCCGAATGAATCTGCTTTGATGTAAAATGCCTTTCAGACCCAATGGAACAGTTCTGGTTGGGACGTTGGCCGTAGAACATTTGGAAATTTATCCGAAAAATACAATTTACGACGCAAAAAGATTTATTGGAAAAACCTTCGAAGCCGATGATCCGCAATTTTTGGTGAGTATTTCTGATTATTTCTTGAACTTTTAGGCAATAGTTGACTAATTCCAAGGCATTTTTAGGCCGACAAAGAGCGATATCCCTTCGAAATCGAGCTGGATTCGGAGAAACGAGCGTATTTTAGAGTGAAATTGGAGGAGGGAGAACGGTAAGATGATTTTAAAATGCTAGAAGAGGTCGTATTTACCTTTTAAGCAAAAAATTTCTCCAGAGTTTAGTCAAATTTTCGATGAAAATTTAATTTTTTTTACAGATTGCTATACCCAGAGGAGATAGGTTCAATAATTGTGAATTATCTGAAAGAAAATGCCGAAAAGTCGATGGGATTCGGCTTCAAAAACCTCGTCATATCAGTTCCCGCCGAATTCGCCGCTTCGCAGCGCAACAAAACGAGGGAGGCGGCCGAAAAAGCCGGCTTCAATGTTTGGCGGGTCATCAGCGAACCGACCGCCGCTGCGCTGGCATATGGATTGGACAAGAAAAATGGAGTCACCTTTGTGATTGTGGTGGATCTGGGTGAGCAGTGGAGATGGGATTATTTTAATATCAACAATTTATACGTGATATTATACATGTCGTTGTGGGTCAAGAAAGAGTTTAAAATCGGTGAAAAATTTATTCAGCCGTAGGGAAAGAAGGATAAATATGGGATGTAAAATACGCATTCTTCATGAAAGTTGCAATTTTTATTGGACAAACTCTATTTTCTTTGCAAAAAAGTCGTTTTTACCGAAAATTCACAAATTTCGAAAAATTTCTTTCAAAAAATCGGTTTTAATTGTAAAAAATTCGATTTCACAGCATTCAAAATCTCTGTCCTCTCGAGTTCAATCATTTTCTCAAAGATGACATTACTTTTTTGCCAAAAAATCTCAAAATTTGTTCAGAAAAAGCCTGATTTCACCCAAATTTTCCCCCAATCGTCGCTCCCTGGAAAAATTTTGGTGAAATCAGGCTTTTTTGAACAAATTTTGATGATTTTTGGAAAAAAAGTGATTTAATCTTTGAGGTAATGGTTGAACACAAGAGGACACAGATTTTGAATACTGTGAAATTGAATTTTTTATAATCAAAACCGATTTTTTGAAAGAAATTTTGCGAAATTTCTGGATTTTTGGTAAAACCGATTTTTTTCGCAAAAAAAATAGAGTTTGTCTAATAAAATTGCAGCTATCATGAAGTAAGAGTATTTTACGTCTCATATTTATCCTTCTTTCCCTATGGCTGGATACATTTTTCACCGATTTTAAAATTTTTTTTGACCTACAGTGACATGTATAATATCGCTTATAACTTGTTGATATTACAGGTGGAGGAACCATGGATGTCTCTGTTCTGATGCTCCAAGGAGGTATGTTTGTCACACAATCGCTCGCCGGAAACAATCGCCTGGGAGGACAGGATTTTAACAATTTGATTCAGCAGTTCATCGTGAAGGTAAGGATAATTTAATTTTGATCGAAAAATGGTAAAAATGAAGGATTTTGGGGGAAATTGGATTATTTGCAGAAAATTGAATCCGGATCGGATAAGAAATTGACGAACAAAGAGGATTTACAACAGCTTCGACTGGCCATCGAGCAGGCCAAAGTTCGCCTTACGGATCGGCATGAGACCTGGATTAAAATCGACCTCAAACAAACCGGAAAGTTCGAATATCTATTGACCAGAGAGGAATTTGAGACCATTTGCGAGCCATTATTTGATGCTGTAGTGGATCCGATCGAAGCCGCGTTGGAAGATGCGGAACTGACACCTTCCGATATTGATGAAATTGTTCTGGTTGGAGGATCTACGCAAATCCCAAGAGTACGACAGATTGTGGGGAAAATGTTTGGGTGAGTAAGGCGTTCACTAGTAAATACGGCGTATTTTACAATGAAAAAATTTGAGATTTTTTGAGCAAGTTTAGTATGTGGTTACCTAAAGTAATGTCGGGCGAAATGTGGGTTGAGATTTGGAAATTGAAGCCAAAAAATACGTTAGAGATACAGTTTCAGGACATGGAAAAGATTGGGATGGGTTTCGCGACAAAATTGGGAAATTCAGGTTTTCGTGGTGGGACCTGGCGAAGTTGAAAGTGATGGAAAAATCGATGCATTGCACTGTAAAAGGAGATGTTTTTGTATATTAGATGCGTTTTGAAGAATTATATGACGTTTTTTGTCGATTTTGAAGAGAATAATGTTTTCGTGGTGGGACCCAAAAATTTTTTTTTTGGAATTTTTGGTTTCCTTGGAGAATATTGAGACGAAAAGTAGTGTAGTAATTAATTTTGTTTGGTTATGAACCTCCTCATTTTCAGTAAGACTCCAAATTTTGGAATTGACCCCGAACTGGCCGTAGTGACAGGGGTCGCTGTTCAAGCCGACGTCCTCGCCGGTGGATGGCCATTGAAGGTGGCGGCGCTAGAATTGGAGTCCGGCCATCGAAAACGACACATCTACTACAAAGACGCGGCCCACAAACGTGTTCATAGCACTGAAAAATTAGATGTATAATATATGTCTATTCTAATGTTGGGGTAACATATTGTTAATTTATTAGCTAAAATTTTGTCTAACTTGTTGTTATAGAGGTAAAATTAGTGTTGTTTAAGTTTGGAGCTTTTTTTATAGTTTGGGATTTTTTGAAATTTCGACGAAAAATTTGGGATATAAAAATATCTCTAAAAATTGTGCTATGTCATCGAATTTTACTTTGTAGTCGTCCTAACATGTCTTTTATGGTTCACTTCCATCAAAACGGGTATAAAATATTGAATGATTCGAAATTTTTTTGTGTGAAAGGAAAGATAAATGAAGGATAATTTTTTTGAGACAGCTTACCCTCGAGTTTTGTCGCAGAGTGGTGGGATTCTGACTAGAAATCGGTTTGGCTAGAAGTGGTCCAGCGCATTTCCTGAAACCGTTTCGAAACTTCGTATCGTTTTCATTGATTTAAAAGAGAGACGAAATATCGCGAAATTATCGGCACTTTTTCTGGCCCGAAATATTGGTTTTTCTCGAAAAGGAAGAAGACAGATAAGAAAATGCGTTTTATCGGATAGTGACATTTCGTTTTGAACGAATCACCAAAAAGGGGCGGGAAATTTTTTCTTCTATTTTGCAGGAGTGGCAAACGGGCCTCTTTTTCCAAATTTCAGGCCCGGCCCGGCAAAATCCCAGGCCCGGCCCGGCCCGGTTCAAAATTTTGCAGGCCCGGCCCGGCCCGGTAAAAGCCCGGTTAGGGCGCGAGCTGGAAATTTTCCTTTGATCTTACCGCCTCTGTAGTGTGCTAAAATCTGCTAAGAACTATCCTATATGTATTATATGTTCTAATTTGGACCTTATATTATTACATATATGCAAAAAAGTACTATAAAGTAATAAACTATTGTAGAACTTGATATACTAAAAATACAAACCTATCCAAAAATTTTTCCGGCGCGAAAACATTGAATGCCAAACACTTGGCATTTCGACAAAACCGGGCCGGGCCGCGGGCCTGAAAATGGCTCAGGCCCGCGGCCCGGCACGTCAAGAAATTGCGGGCATTGCAAAGGTTCTCACAGCGAAAAAAAATTCATAAAATCTGTCATCCAAATTGCACATAACAACAATGTTTAACCTAATTTTTTTAATGGGAGCTCTAGGGAGTACTACTAGTCGTATACAACTATTTTTTATACCACTGGCACATTCTGAATGGGTGTCATCGTGACGCATTTTTTGAACACGGTTCGAGCTAGGCTAAAAATAGTGCAAATTTCAAGGCCGAATATCAAAAAAACTGTCCCATCAAGCGGGACGAGACCGATGTAGATACTCGAAGAATAGTTTAACGATTTTTTTGACGTGGAGCCTATACCCCCTTCCAGTTCTCTCTGACTCGGTATCGTCGATACAAAATTTTATTTAGACGTTGTTTTCTTCGCCTTGGAAGACTGTCAAAATACTATGATTATGGGTATATTTTGGTTCTATTAGCTTAAGCAACTCTCGAGCTTTCTATTGGTATCAATATCTTGTGATTTACTAATAATCTTTATGTCAAAATATTGAAAACCATTTGGACAAAAACGGATTTGCACCGGGCAGAATGCCAAAAAAAATTCTAGGCTTTTTCATTGGGCGCCCGTTTTTCTTTTACTTTTTCTTGACGTGCCCGGCCCGGTAAAAAGCAGGCCCGGCCCGGCACGTCAAGAAATTGCGGGCATTGCAAAGGTTCTCACAGCGAAAAAAAATTCATAAAACCTGTCATCCAAATTGCACATAACAACAATTTTTAACCCAATTTTTTTAATGGGAACTATAGGGAGTACTACTAGTCGTATACAACTGTTTTTTATACCGCTGATACATTCTAAATGGGTGTCATCGTGACGCATTTTCTGAACATGGTTCGAGCTAGGCTAAAAATAGTGCAAATTTCAAGGCAAACTATCAAAAAAACTGTCCCATCAAGCGGGACGGGACCGGTGTAGATACTCGAAGAACAGTTTAAGGATTTTTTTGACGTGGAGCCTATACCTCCTTCCAGTGCTCTCTGACTCGGTATCGTCGATACAAACTTTTATTTAGACGTTGCATTCTTCGCCATGGAAAACTGTCAAAATACTACGATTATGGGTATATTTTGGTTCTATTAGCTTAAGCAGCTCTCGAGCTTTCTATTGGTATCAATATCTTGTGATTTACTATTAATCTTTATGTCAAAATATTGCAAACCATTTGGACAAAAACGGATTTGCACAGGGCAGAATGCCAAAAAAAATTCTAGGCTTTTTCATTGGGCGCCCGTTTTTCTTTTATTTTTTCTTGACGTGCCCGGCCCGTTTCAAAATTTGCCAGGCCCGGCCCGTTTAGGCCCAATCGGGCCGGGCTTCGCCGGGCCGGCCCGGCCCGGTGGCCACCCCTGCTATTTTGGATTGACGTGCATGGACACTTGTTGCGACACGCGCCGTGCACAGAGATCCCCGACTTCTTGCACTATGCATTTATCAAATCGAGTAACTCAACTTTTGGAAATGAAACTTCTGGAGTTTCTGATTTCATCATCCATTTTTCTTTGCCATTCCCTTCAAAGACGGTCGAATTTTTGAATTTTTTCCGGTGCGCCGACAAAACCATGAGTGAGAATCAGGAGCCAAATAAAAAATTGATCAAAGAAGTAAGCGATAGCCTTCAGAATCCCTTGAAATTTTTGTGCAGCGATGCAAAAAAATTAAATGTTTGATTTTTAATTTTTTTGCTGCAAAATTCCAAAAACCCTTATTTTTGTCGCAAAGTTTACCCTCAATTTCTTCAGGAAGATTCGGAAGAGGAATTGCCATTAACAGGGGTCCCGTCAGACCAGGATTCCGAGAGGCTAAAGCCAGTCCCGTCCGCCGAAATCACCCGACTTCGGGATGTACGTTTGCCCAGGATAACATAATTTTTTCTATGATTTTGGCCTATGGTTAATCTGTCATCTTCAGAAAGCCATCAGTCCAAGTGGCCCCAATTACCCGGCCAGTCAAGGGAATATTAACAAAGAATGTGATCAGAAGAAGAATTAGGATGATTTTGATGAATAAACATGTTTAATAGATGACTCTGGCTGTTTGAAGGTGTCTATTGTACCGGATGCTTCTTGAAATACCTTGATATCTTTTAATTTTGGTCATTTTATACGATGAAATTGTTTTTTCAACCGTTTTTATCTTACACTTGACATTTGATATAAAGTAACTTTCAAATTGAGGTTTTGGCAGGGAAATGTCAAAATAATTGGATAAGTAGAGCTTTTTTAGTCATAGACTTTCAATACAAGAAGTAATTTGTCATCAAAATCAACATACGAACAATTTTGCAGCCTGCGAAGTCCAGGGCGCAGTTCGAAACCCGGAATTTGATCCTAAAACAAAGCCAATACTGTAAAAGGCCCTTAGGCACCTATATTGTGATGGGAAACTATAAACGGGCGTACTTTTTCCAGCCCAGTCCACGTAATACTCAAAAGAAACACATGACACATGTGTCAAATTTCACTCTCTAATCAGTCGCTTTGCCAAAACAATATTAATGCGGTTCAACGGGTTTGCTATTGAAAACAAGCGTGCTCTTGGATGCAAAAAAGGTGTAAAACGGAAGTCTAAGCAGCTGCCAGCATGTTGTCTTATGTGATACGAAGAATAGGTGCGAAACAATGTCCGTTGTCGCGGATTCGGCGCTCGACTTCAACAAGTTTGGTTAGGGTAAGAACAGTGATACGAGTAGTTGAGCTTCAGTCTACTTTTACATCGTATTTCATTGGGTTTGGAGGATTTCCAAAGGTTTTTTTGCTTAATGTAGATAGTAGTGTAATGTTTTGGCTATAACTCGCTGAAATGTCGATGAAATGAAGCGGTATTTTTTATTTACTGGTACAAGACTTTAGGGAAGATGTATGTTAAATTTCAGGGGTCTATCTGCATTTTTCTTCAAGCTACAGCCAAAACATTACACTTGACTTCATTTTTTTACCTAAAATACTAAAAAATTCAAAAAAAAACTGCAGTTTAGCCCACGATTTTTGATAAAAATAAATCTCAGGAGATCGGAAAGACCGTGTGCACACTTACTTTACATCAAATTTGGTTTTGTTATTCCCAAATTCACCAATATTATCCATGAAAAAACAGCTAAAACAATATCCGAAAGCTTTTATTCTCGAAGGTTTTTTTTGCAGTCCGAACGCAAAAAACGCGATGAAAGTGACCAATGTTCGAAATTCGCCCTTGGGCATTTGCACTTTTATCCAAAAACAGCCATAAATTTTTTTTCGAAAAACAATTTTCCGCTCTTTGCCACGATCGCACGAAAAAGCCCGCCGATTTCGTCATTTGCAATTCATTGTTTTGCCAAGCCCTCTCGTTGTGCTGTGGTTGTCCATTTTGCGTCTGATCGGATTTGATTTTCAGCATTCTAACCCCCTTTTGGCAACTAATACCATGGCCTCACCAGCACCATTCGACCGAACCTTGCACGTGGTCCGTTCCGACACCCCGATTCTGAAGTTGGAATGCGAAAAAGCCTTTTCACGTATGTGTTTTTGTTTACGTTTCCGTTTTTAGGAGGTTTGGAAGGGAGGAGGGAGTTGTTTTTATCAATAGAGTTGGTGGTCATGGTGAAGATAATTTTTAATCGGTTTGAAATGTTAACGAACTGAAATTGGGTTTAATAGAGGCATGTGGTCATGGATGATGGGGTCAAATAAAAAAAGTTCTACATTTACTTGAATCTTTAGGATTTTTGAGCGAAAACGTCTCTTAAACATCGGTAACTTTTTGAAAATTTTGGAGCGTCGATGGTCGAAAAATTGCTTTGTTAGAGAGTGTAGACTCCAAGTTGTCCATTACAACAAAGATTCTTCCATGCTGGCCTTTCTTTCGAAGAATTTTTGACTAAAGCATCTCATGATCATGGTGAAGGTAATGGCTTTCTACTTGAGGCCATTGATCTTTTTGTTCTTTCAGCGGATACTGTAGGTGACTGATAAGAAGCTGCCAAATTTTCTCCTGCAGGATTACCATGTTTCTGTTATTTTTATATTACACTTGACCTTTTACAGAACTCAGCAATCGAGACAAGCTCTACGCCCATTATCTTGCCCGTGCCTCGTTCGACGGTGGCCTCATTACCTTCTGCCAACGTTCTCCCGAATCTCCGGCCATCCTGTACATATTTACGGCCGTTTTTCGCGGAGAAGCCCTCCAATCACTGAGGGAGAAGGCGCTGGAAGTTGGGTGGTCAGAAGACGATTTTAACGACTTTTTATACTATTTTGCCACTTTCTACTACAATGCGGGCAACTATTTTGGATTTGGCGACCGGAAAATGGTTCCAGCAGTTTCCCAAGTATGTTTTTTGAGTATTTTTCGATTGAAGTTTAGGTCTGCCTAGTATAACATCAAAAAATGGCTGGAAACCATCGTTTTTTGATGGAATTAAGTGTCCATTTTTGTAATGTAGATGAATTTCAGCGCAGCCTTCGACAATTCCTTTTCAAAACCGCCGCATTCAACGAGGATACGAAGCTAGTCGAGCTTTACAATGAAGTCGAAGAGAAGATTTACGGGCTGTCGGAGAAAGAGCGATTCCTCGGGTACCCGAACAAGGTAAGTCCGTTTCTTGGAGTATTAGACGTTTTAGAGCACCACTGGCTTCCATTCGAAGAATATCACGGAGGAGGATACAAAATTTATCACGAAATTCTTCACCTCCATCAACTTTGAGGGCTGGAATACGAGACTGGAAAAGAAAGAGAATGATGGCGAAACGACGTACTTTGTCAGAGTCGCTGCTGTGAACAATGGTAGGCATTTCGACTGTTTTCTCTCTGTTTTTAGGGTCAAGTGGAATTAGAGACTTATTTTCATTATCTTATATTACTTTAGCTGTCCTCTCCAGCCACGAATTTGAAGGCCGTAAGATCATTTTCCAAGCCGGTGATTACTCGCAAATCCTAGCACGTGTCATCCCATCCCTTGAAAAGGCTCGGGTATGTTTGTTTGCTACCATTCAGCCAAGTCATTCATCATTTTTTCTGACCTTACACTTGATATTAAAATTTTTTTTCAGGAGTACGCCAATGATAACCAAAAGGAGATGTTGGCGAAATACGTCGAGCACTTCAAGACTGGCTCGTTGGCAGCTCATAAAGACGGGTCGCGCTTCTGGATCAAGGACGTGAATCCGGCTGTCGAGAGTTATATCGGGTTCATTGAAAATTACTCGGATCCGGACGGAGTTCGCTCCGAATACGAAGGATTTGTAGCCGTTGTGGATAAAGAAGTCTCGGCCAAGTTCCAGAAGCTCGTTGCCAACGCTGGAGAGTACATTCAACGACTTCCGTGGGGCGCGGAATACGAGAAGGACAAGTTTTTGAAGCCCGACTTCACCTCATTAAATGTACTGGCATTCGCTAGCAGTGGAGTGCCGGCTGGAATCAACATTCCGAATTGTGAGTTTAAGAGCTGTTTGTGGTGGGTGTGGATTTTGAGGGAGATTGGGGCGATGCGATTTGAGATATGAACGGTTTGAGTTGGGAATTGGGCTAATGGGATGGTGAAGATTTTTTTGGAAAATTTTTGCGATTTTTTTGAAGTAGTAGGATAGAAATGGATAGTATGTGAATGATTGAGGTCTGAAAGTTTTTTAGAACTAGATTAGAGTTTTTTAGAGAGTTTTTGGATATTATAGTAGGTGGTTTTTTCTAAATTTTTGTCGACTTTTTGAGTTTTTTTGTCTTAATTTGATTTTTTTCTTTGGTATTGTAGAATATAGAGGGATGTTTTTATTTCATTGGCCACAAAAATTTCCATTTTTTCAGACGATGAGATCCGTCAATCAGAAGGCTTCAAAAACGTCTCTTTGGGCAATGTCATCTCCGCGGTGGCCCCAACTCGCGCCGAATTCCTCAGCGAAGAAGATGATAACCTTTACAGACTCTATTTCCAAGACTCGTTTGAAGTGCAGGTTGGTCTTCACGAACTCCTCGGACATGGATCGGGGAAGTTGTTTATGAAGTCCAAAGGAGAACTCAACTTTGACCCTAAAACCACCAAGGATTTGTTGAATGGCGGCGAGGTTACTCACTGGTATGAGGAAGGAGAAACCTGGAGCAGCAAGTTTGGCCAGGTTGGCGCGTCTTACGAGGAATGCAGAGCCGAAGCCGTGGGGTATTATCTCTGCTGCTATGATGACATTATGAAGTATGTTTTTGGGTTTTTTTTCATGAATGGGGGGCTTTTCTGGATTGGATAAGATAGTATGGGACATAAGAGGGCATGTCGTGGGTATTGGACACAAGTTTGAGATTGGATTAAGGTCATATTATCAGATATATTGTTTTAGACAACCCTTCACTAGACTTGATTTTTTTCGATTTTTTTGGCCAAATTCGGAATCACAGGAGGCTTGTATAGGTGTGAGATGACTGACTATCTTTTACGGAGAAAATGCCCATTGATTTTCTATCGAAAATTTGAAATTTTTGACTTAAATTTGGAGGTTTTTTTGTAATTTTTTTGTTTTTTTTTATTTTCAAAAATTTTTTGTTTTGACGTTTGTTTTAATTTTTGGAAATGACGGAATATAATTTCAGCTTGTTTGGCTACGAAGGAGACTTGGCCGAGACGGTCAGATATGTCAACTGGGTCAATGAAATCCGCGCCGGGCTGATGGGACTCGAGAATTATGATCCGGATCAAAACAAATGGATTCAGGTGGGAATTTTTTGATTTTTCGGGTTTTTTTAGATAATATGAGAATGTATTAGCCATCGTTCGGATAGTTGTTGTTTATTTGGATATTTTTTTTTGAAGAAATTTTACGTCTTTAGCTATATTTTTTGGAATTTTTGAACTGGTCTTTTATAGAGATAATTTATTCGACTTTAGGCCCATTCTCGCGCCCGTTTCGTCCTCTTCCGGGTAGTTCTCGAAGCCGGGCAAGGATTTGTGAGCATTGAGGAAACCACCGACGCCAAAGGAGTCCCCGATCTTTTGTTCAAATTGGACCGAACCAAGATTCAGAAGGTTGGAAGACCGGCGGTTGGCGAGTTCTTGAAGAAGCTGCAGTACTATAAGTCGACTGGAAACAACGCCGAAGGCATCCCATTCTACGACAAGTGGTCCGAAGTTGACGAAAAATACCAAAGGTGGAGAAAGGTTGTTTTGGCCAGAAGGAAGCCAAGAAAGGTCCTAGTGCAACATAACACGGTCAAGGAGGAAGATACTGGCGGTAAGTTTGTATGCTATAAATGGGAGAAGTGTTGGGGAAATGGCTTTTGAGATCTAAGCAAAAATTTATATTATCCTTTGCAGATATCTCGATTGTCAATTATGAGCCCACCCCAGAAGGAGTTGTACTCTCAGTCCTGGAACGCCACCCCGAATCTGCTCTAGAAGAACTGCTTGAGGTCTACGAGCAAGAGAAGAAGACTATTTTTGCATAGACCACCAGAAATTAGAGGATTATATTACACATGACGGTTTCTGTATCTCAGGTGAAAAAATGAAGATATCTTGGTGTTCACTGCCCATTTCCTGTTGCATTTTACTGTTTAGGGGTTGTATTTGTATTAATTTTTAATTTACTTGTATGTATGAGGTTGTAAAAGTTACCGGTTATATGATTTTGTGCCTGTTTGTTATATGTCATCAAATGATTTGGTCATAAATATTGATATGCGAAGGTTTGACATGGAAGCAACTTGTTTTTATTCATAAAATACTTGGCATTTTAAGCAATAATTTGTTCGCAAATAGCGCCTTGAATAACGGTGTTTGGAGGATAGGGTGTCCACTTTCCCCCCAAGTTCGGATGGTTCAAAATAAGCGCGTAGAATTGAGTCCCTGGAGCCGCAACATCGGTGCGAACGTTGGTGTAGTTGTATTTGGTGACTCCATCAAGCCAGAAAAAAGTGCTGTTGCCGTTATCAGATCTTAGGCCAATTGCGACTTGAGAGCCGGGATAAACGTTACGCGAAAGGGCGTCTGAAAAGATTTTGGGGTACAGTGGGGGGCCTGATCCAGTAGCAAAAAACGTACCATTTTGCATCCAGGAAGTATCAAAAATGTGGCAAAATACTTCCCTCTCCAATTGAAAAAACTCGGATTTCAAAAGCGCGCCCGCTCTTTTTTGAGGAAAAAGGGCCCTTCAAAACGAACTTTTTTCACTTGGAGAGGGAAGCATTTTGCCACATTTTTCATACTTTCCGGATGCAAAATGATACGTTTTTTGCCACTGGATCAGGTCCCCCACTGTAGTTTTCAAATTTTGAGAGGAGCTCAAGATTCGAAACGGCGTTGCAGAGGTTGTGGCTCTGTACAAAAACTCGCCAGGGCCCTGAAGATTTTTACGTTATGGACCGGGTTTCTTTGACGGGAGTTGGTTGTACAGAGGTTTCACTGTGCTACTTTCAAGACCCAAAAAAAGATTGGAGAGGTTGTAGCTGCATTTCTATTTTGGGCAGATGGAATTTGTGGTATGTAATCGACTTCTTCTGCCGTCTAAATGGCTGGCCGAAGCATTGGGCTGAACCAAAAATCTCATAAATTGGTAACCAAGGAGCTGGGTTGGTAGACAGGTGATCTAGTTGAGATTTTTAGACCAATCCAGGTGTTTAGCCAGCCATTTGAATAATTCGCTGGCTAAAGATTTGTATTGGCCTTAAAATCCCAACGATGTGAGTTGTCTACCAATCCAGCTGGTTGGCTACCCATTTGTGAGATTTTTGGTTCAGTCCAATGTTTCGGCCGGCCATTTAGACAATCGATGCAATTGAGGAAGTCGATTACATGCCACATGTTCGATCTGCCCAAAATAGAAATACAGCTACAACCCCTGTAATCTTTTTTTGGGCCTTGAACGTAGCACAGTGTGACCTCTGTACAACGAACTCCCGTTCAAGCAACACCTGTCTATAACGAAAAAAATCTTCTGGCCCCTTGCGGTTTTTTTGTACAGATGTCCACATATAACTAAAAAGCTACCTACTGTAGAGAAATTGATTTTGCGCCGCGTCCGGAATGGCGGCGGGAAGGAGTCGATATTGTCGGCAGTAGGTGTCTATGTACTCGATTGGTTGGTAGAAAGCATTGTTTATCTGAAAATTAAAAGCCTAAAGAGACGCACAAGCGCTTTGTACTACAATATCAGTAAATTTGTTCGCTCTGCGAAGCTGGTTTTTTCAATTTTTACCCACTTACGTAGTACGAATACTTGCCATTGGTAGCCAAAAATTGTGGCCCCGGTGAAATTTTGAATCCGGAGGAAACGGAGAACAGAGCAATCACCAAAGCCAAGGTTTTCATGTCGGCGTTGAACGTGAAAAGCCAAAAATTTTTGAGTTTTTATATCACCAAAAAACGCTGAACCTTAATTCCAGTAGGGATTCGATTTTTGGGCTTTTGAAATTTTACTATTGTCTGGAGTTTTGAAATTGCTGATCTTGTCAATTACCCCAATGATATTTGAAATTTAGATCAAAGGAAAAATTTTTTTCGCAATTATACGTTTGGTTTCTATAGCGGTTTTTTTGGGTGTCATTAACAAGGGTTCGACGACACAATAGGTTTCATAGGACACTGGAAGTTTCAGAATTTTGAGAAACAACGGCTTCCTGACTGGAAAAACTGATTCATCGGTTATTAGTCAACTTAAAAAAGCATTGGATTTTATCCCTCTAGATCTCTCTGAGCTTAGAAAAATCCTTTTTTGCGAACCTTTCAGACCAGTGGACCTTTTCGCTCAATGCAAAATCACAGTTTTTTATCAGTCTGTCGGGAAAATAATGTGGATTTGTCGCAGCAAGATGTCTCGTCGCCAAATCTCCAGCCGCGGCTAGCCGTTGCGAAGCGATGATTCGCGATTACAAGGCGTGACGAATCCACATTATTTTACAGACAGACTGATAAAAGACTGTGATTTTGAATTGGACGAAAAGGGCCACTGGCCTCAAATGTCCGCAAAAAAGGATTTTCTAAGCTCTGAGAGATCTGGAGGGCTGTGGGGCAGTCTACTGCGCTGATAAAATCCAATGATTTTTTCTAACGTTTACTTGATTTTCTTTAGTGATACTGTAAATGAGTCATATGCGAAAATTACAACTTTACAGTACTGTTTTAGAAAACAAGTAAAAATCAGAAAGGATGGATTGGATTTTGGAAATCCGCGCCAAATTGCCTAACCTCTTTCCAGTTCCCACTGGAATAAGAAAAAAAACAACAGAAGCTTGGATTCGAAGCATTCCTTACGATTGGCTATACTCATTTTTACTGCATACTTTCAAGATTTCTTCTAGCAAATTTTCCAAACATTTATTATCAGAGCAACTCCAAGCTTACGAAAGTTTTTCGCATAACGCATAACGAAGTATTTTTTTCGCGGACACAGGGGTCCACTTCCCACCCAAATCGCCGTCCGTATGCAGAATGATGCCGTAAAGTTGATCCCCATCCGTATCTGTGTCATTGCGGGCGTTGTTATATTCGTATTTGGTGAAGCCATCGAGCCATGCAAAAGTTTCATTGTTGAATTTCAGGCCAATTGCGGCGACGGAAAAGGGTTCAACTTTGCTGTAGAGGGCGGCTGAAATGAAGGGCTAAAATCAAGAGCCTATTTTTGTATATAACAGAGGGAGGGAGTACTGTAAGTGCGATGCTCATATTTTGATGGAACTTGGCATAAATTTGGAATATGTTATCTAAAATATGGCTATAGTACTTGTAGCACACGCTCCGCCTTTTCCGACCGGGTATGAGTCCCAAAGGGATACATTTTTGTTGCATCCAAGATGCGCTAGGATGCATTTTTTGCTACGCGGTTTTATGCAGACATGTGGAAGTTTCATTTTTCAAATGGCGATGGGTAAACTGCACATCCGTTTCCTCCCAGATATTTGATTTGGAGACAGACATGATGTTGGCCCAATTTTTACAGCCAATATTGCAAAATTGTTTGATCAGCTAGCCAATGGGTTGAAATGACAACCATTTTTTTATATGGCTAGCCAAAAACGCTGGACCGGCTAGTCGAAGTGTCAGAATGGCTATGAAGCCTCAAAAAAGCTGAACTACTCGGTGGCCAGCTTTTTTCAGGCTTTACAGCCATTCTGACACCTTGGCTGGCCGATCCAGGTTTCTGGCTGGCCATTTAAAAAATTCGGTGGTCATTTCAACTCATTGGTTAGCTGGTCAAACAATTTTGCAACATTGGCTGTAAATATTGAGCCAACATCATGTCTGCAATCAAATCAAAAATCTGGGAGGAAAAGGATGTGCAGTTTCCCATCGCCATCTGCAAAATGGAAATTCCACACGCCTGCATAAAACCGCATAGCAAAAAATGCATCCTAACGCATCTTGGATGCAACAAAAATGTATCCCTTTGCATCTCATATCCGGCAATTGTTTCTATTGATTTTTACTGTATACCCACCATAAATCTGCTGGTTTTGTGCGGCATCTGGAATAGCGGCCGGGAGAAACCCGTAAGATGTACAGTATGCTTCGAGTTCGGTAGCCGGCAGTAGGAAGTTGGGGTTGTACTAAAAAAGCCCCTAATTATTGGAGTATTTACTGCTGCTGTAGTTTATAGCAACGTTTCTTACAAAGTACGCGTACTGTCCAACCTTTGCCAGCAGCTCCGGCGCCGGACGATCATTATAGCCGGAGGCAATGGAAGACAGAGCAATAATCAAAACCAGCGCTTTCATTTCGAATACAGAGAGAAATGTCGGCTTTTGATTGGAATAATGAAGCATTCCTCTTCTTTTTATAAGACCGTTTGCTGTATTCTTCGACATTTGGGTTGATATTTGAAGCCTAGAGTAACTCTATGAAAACAGTCATATTGCGATTGAAATTTTTATTTTTCTTGTGCGTTGAGTCATCAACAGTGTTCACGAGATGAACAAAGCTTTACAGTAAGGTCATCAACAAGCGTAACCGTTTATTTACGAAAAAATTATAAGAAATGTAACGCGCAGAGTGCCTAGGATATATCAGTCGGTCGGGGAAATAATGTGGATTTGTCCCGACAAATCCACGTTATTTTCCCGACAAACTGATATATATTTTTTCGCGCTACTAAAAAAATCATCGGATCCGGCTGCAGATCCCGATCTGAATCTGATAAGTCGGATTCAAGTAATTCCACCGTCCAGAACTGATTCCAGTATTCAAGTACATGGTGTAGAGTTTGCGGACTGGTGGGGTTGTTTTGTCGTTGCGGTTGTCGAACCCAAACGGCGTGTAGCCATCCAGCCATCTGAATTGTCCGTTGCTGTACTCTAGACCAATGCCAGCCTCGGCGTTGCTGCTAACCACTTTTTCTAGGAATTCTGAAACGAAATTGCGTTTACAAAAATATGGCTCCTGTTTTCCAACTCTTCTGTTTCCAACTTTGCAACCAGCCTTGTCTATTTTGAAAAGCCTCAAAGCCCTTTTTAAGCCAACCTAAGCCCTCGTAAAATGGTCCATTTCTTGGTCGCGATTTGTTGTATAGATGCGTCCTAAGATTCTCAACTTCATTACTTACTTTCGACAACATCATTGTATAGCTGGCTGGGGATCGCGGCCGGTTGCCATCCATGATATCTGCAGTATTCCGCCAGCTTCTCAATAGGGATGTTTAAATTGAGATTGTACTGAAACGGCCGTTATAATGCGTCAGAAATATCCTTACCCCATATTCGTATTCGCCGGCTTTCGCTAAAAATTTTGGCGCGATCGTTTTTTTCAACCCGTAGACAATCGTAATGCTCGTGAAAATAAAGAAGACAGACTTCATGGTGGAGACTGTTTTAGTTGTTTATTCAGCCAAACAAACTTTTATATTGGCGAAGATATTATGATCTAAATGTCAGTCTGCACAACCTTTCCGTGGTTACATGTAAATTTTTTTGAAAATTATGATCCTGGTACGAAATTGGCATTTGGATCGTCTATTGATACTGGAAGGTGTAAAATGGCGAACAATTTTTTTTAAAAAAATGCGTACTATCAGTTTGTCGGGAAAATAATGAACGCAATGTCGCTGCGAGAAAATTAATTGTGTCGCGGCAAAATCTAATTGCTTTTCAATTTAGCGACGCTATCGGTGCAGCTGGTCTACATACTTGCGTTATAAAGCCCCCACAATTTTACCACGGATGTCGCACTCTGAAAAACAGCGACTTGTCGCTGTGAAAAAAGGGAATCGCGCGACGCAAGGCAAAAACAGAAATACACTGTACAAGTCACTTTTTGTTGTTTATTGAAGTATTCGGAAGCAAAAATAAATTACGGAATAAATATGGCAATTAAATTACTGATAATAGGGAGCGATCTCCTGCAGCAACTCCACAATCTTTTGAGGATTCTGCTTTGTTATTTGACCAATGATTTCCACCACGTTGTGCTCAACCTTGAGGTAATCAGCCGGCTTCAAATGATCCATTTTGTTGGAGAATTCCTTGAAATTCCTTGGCAACAACTGCAATTTAAACAAAGTATAATTAAATCTTGTTGAAAGATAAGGTTTGTAAATCCATTTTACCTTCAAAAGATCGTCAAATTCCATTCCTTCATCGGCACTTCTCTTGGTTTTGGTTGAGTTAGTCGACACATCACACATTCCCAGCCCTTTACACACTTTTTTGGAGTTTCCAAAGAATGAGAATACGATGGCGCCGCCTACAAGAATCTCACAGGCCAAGAGGTTATGAGCATTCTCATCGAATGCATAGATGATTGGGCAAATTGCGACGAGACCCTGAAGTTTAAATGGTAAAATAACCGTGCCTATCCTTTACCAATGGCACATAGAAGTCATAGGTGATGTAATAAGAGAGAAAGTCCACACCAGATTGACAGGGCGAACACAAAACTCCCCATTTTTCCAATTGAGGGACCAATGGGATGACCTTCACATCTGTGTTGACCTCCTTTTCGGTATCATTTACCCAAGTGCCAGCCGTATCTTCGGCTGATTCGAATTCGTTTTTGGCGTCTTTGATTCCTTGCCAAATATTGGAGAGCGTATCCTAGAGATAGTTTCAGATTAAGAGGTATATTTATAGTCATCTTACAGTAAACCCCGCATCAATGAGACCAGAGTACATGGAAAAGTAGAGGAGGAAGGAGACCTTGAAAGTCTTTGAATGCATGATGCCAAAATTATTTAGCTAGGTACAAGTGTCAGTTGCTGATGCTGTCATTCATTTTGCCGGCATTTTTATACGGAGAATTTGTCCTAGTGATCTAATTCCTTTAGTGTTAGAAAAAAACAAAATTAAAATATGATCCGAATAAGAGCAAAAATTAGATCACTAGGACATAGAGAAAGTATAAAATAACTGGCGAAATTCACTGACATCATCAACAATCAAGCGTTCTTCCTTCATCCCCTACGGTTATTACAATGCATTCAAAGACTTTCAAGGTTTCCTTCCTCCTCTACTTGTCGTGTACTCCGGTCTCATCGATGCGGGGTTTACTGTAAGATGACTAAAATATACCTCTTAATCCTAAACTATCTCTAGGACACGCTCTCCAATATCTGGCAGGGAATCAAAGATGCCAAAAACGAATTCGAATCCGCCGAGGACACGGCTGGCACTTGGGTAAACGACACCGAAAAGGAGGTCAACACCGATGTGAAGGTCATCCCATTGGTCCCTCAATTGGAAAAATGGGGAGTCTTGTGTTCGCCTTGTCAAACTGGCGTGGACTTTCTCTCTTATTACATCACCTATGACTTCTATGTGCCATTGGTAAGGGATAGGCACGGTTATTTTACCATTTAAACTTCAGGGTCTCGTCGCAATTTGCCCAATCATCTATGCATTCGATGAGAATGCTCATAACCTCTTGGCCTGTGAGATTCTTGTAGGCGGCGCCATCGTATTCTCATTCTTTGGAAGCTCCAAAAAAGTGTGTAAAGGACTGGGAATGTGTGATGTGTCGACTAACTCAACCAAAACCAAGAGAAGTGCCGATGAAGGAATGGAATTTGACGATCTTTTGAAGGTAACGCAGAATTGCAAACCTTAACTTTCAACAAGATTTAATTCTGTGTTGTTTAAATTGCAGTTGTTGCCAAGGAATTTCAAGGAATTCTCCAACAAAATGGATCATTTGAAGCCGGCTGATTACCTCAAGGTTGAGCACAACGTCGTGGAAATCATTGGTCAAATAACAAAGCAGAATCCTCAAAAGATCGTGGAGTTGCTGCAGGAGATCGCTCCCTATTATCAGTAATTTATTTAATTGCCATATTTATTCCATAATTTATTTTTGTTTCCAAATACTCCAATAAATAAAAACAAAGTACTTTGCACAGTGTATTTCGGTTTTTGCCTTGCGTCGCGCGATTTCGCTGTTTTATGTTTACTCTTTAAAACTTGATTACTGCAGTAAGTACGGCTCCGCAGAATATTCGTTTATTCAATCAATCAGACTGAACAGTCAAAAAAATCCGTAAATTTTCGGCTTATCATTTTTTTAATTTTTGCCAACGGGCCTGGCGCATAAGAAAGCCGTCACCGGTGTTTCGGGGTTCTGCGGGATCCATCTCCCATGATCATCGCAATCACTCACAATAAGCGCGTAGCTGAACAAGTAACCGAGTGGAGGCTGCGCGAAAAAGTTGTTGTAGTCATTGCAACAGCACAAGACCGTGGTTCCATTCTCCTTCAGCCAGTAATGCTGATCATCGCGGAACTGGAGTCCAATAGCGACTGTGGTGGTGCCAAGTTGTTGGAAGAGGAGGGCTGAAGTTGAAACGGTCGATAGAGCTATCAGTTGTCGGGAAAATAATGAGCGCAATGTCGCTGAACTAATCGAAGTGAAAAGCAATTTGATTTCACCGCGACACAATTCATTTCCTCGGCCGCGGTCCCATTTTCGATGAGGGCTCATTATTTTCCAGACAGGCTGATAGGCCAACTAAACATTATTTTAAGGCAACTTACAGGAGACATTGTGATTCGTCTCCTCATCCAAGATTACCGCCGGTTCGTATCCGGCATTGTGGCAATAGTAACCGATTAATCTGTACGACAGAAAAGTTCCTTGGCCGTACTAAAATCAAGTTCCGTGCTGATTGAAAATATTGGGTCGGGGACTAAGTTCGTCGAATTTTTTTACTGCTTTGTTTTACAAGGATTGTTTGTTGTTTGAGCTCCTTGTTAACCGTGGCGTTCTTTTAAAGTATTTCCGAATGCACCATGCCTTCCCAGTCCCCCAAAATGCAGATGATCGCCTTGTTGGGTGGGGATCGTGCTTGACTGTCCCCTGGGGCACCCACTCCAGGAGACAGTCAACACTTCGCTTCATATTGACGTACAGACACCACTTTTCATCACCGTAACGATTCGATACAAAAAGCGCTGTTTATGCCTACGTGTTGCTCGACGAAAAAGGCAGGTGTCGAAAACGCAAATTTTTGCCTCCTAGATGGTCACTTTTGAGCCCAAAAAATAACAAAAAAAATTAAATTTTCAAAAAAATCTAAAAACACAATTTAGTAGAAGGGAAAGAGCTCTTTCGAATGCATGTATGCACTTTGCCGAACAACAAACAATGGTTGTAAAACAAAGCATTCAAAAAAACGCTGCGAACATAGTCCCCGACCTAATATTATATTTAATATACATTAAGGCTTTACTTGATCACCGCCACGCTTATGAAAACACTAATGTAATAGTAGTACTTACTACATACTCAAAACCGCCGAATTGTCCTAAGGGGTATGGTCCTGTGATCGTCGGATACGTACCTGGGACCGGATACGAGCCTGGGGTGGGATACGAGCTTGGGGTTGTAGATGGCCCCGGCACCGTCCCAGAGACTGACTGTGTTCCTGCGGTCGGAATGGGCGGCACCGTCGACGAATGCGGCGATGTGAATGGCTGTGAAGGGCCCGGCACCGTTCCAGTGACCGGCTGTGTTGCAGCGGTCGGATTGGGCGGCACCGTCGACGAATGCGCATCTTGTGCCGCAGTTGCGGTAGCGACAAGAACAGCAAGTAAAATTAAAGTCATGTTGGGAGTGCTTGTTGTCAGGCGCCAACAGAAAGAGTAATTCTGACAAAACTCTTGTATGTATATATACTCCTGTCCTACAGTATTCGACATTTCACCGCTTTTATTATAGGCAATTTGTTGTAATTAGTTTCCCATTGAAGATCTAGATTCCAATTTTTCACAATACTTTCTCAGAAATTGCATCAAAACTAATCAATTTGATCAATTTGCGATATTTAGAATACCTTTTCAATGGAACATCCTTTCAAAAAAGCAATTTTATTTCGGAAACAAAAAGCCGAATGCAACTTCATTCCTTCTTGTCGTCCTCCTTTTCCTTGGACTCGAGGTCGGTGAGGTCCTTGCTGGCCTCCTTGGTCTTCTTTTCGCCCTCCTTCTTCGAGTCCCAGTCGGACAAGACGTCGTCCATCTGAAATTCAAATCCAATCAGTCGTTCGCAAGTCGCTGGAGTGATTTTTGCGACATGCATTGTGCAAAAAAAGTTAACATTGCACCGTGCAATAAGCTTTTTCATGTGTCGCTTGAACTGCACTGTGCAATTTGTTGTTCTTTGCACAGTGCAATAAGCTTTTTTCGGGTGTCGCTCGCACTGCACTGTGCAATTTGTTACTTTTTGCACCGTGCAATAAGCTTTTTTCGAGGTGCCCTTCGCATTGCACAGTGCAATTTGTTGTTCTTTGCACAGTGCAATAAGTTTTTTCGGGTGTCGCTCGCACTGCACTGTGCAATTTCTTGCTTTTTGCACCGTGCAATAAGTTTTTTCGACGTGCCTTTCGTTCGCATTGCACAGTGCAATTTGTTGCTTTTTGCACCGTGCAACAGGCTTTTTCGAGTGTCGCTCACACTGCACTGTGCAATTTGTATTTCTTTGCACCGTGCAATAAGGTTTTTTCGGATTTTTTGCACAGTGCACGTTCTCCGACTTTTTTTTGCACAGTGCATGTCGCCGAAATCACTCCGGCGACTTTACGAACGGACTAGAATCAATCTGTCGGGAAAATAATGATCACTCCATCGCATCGAAAATCGCATCGTCGCCGAGAAAATTAATTTTGTCTCGGCAAAATCAAATTGTTTTTCACTCGTAGTGACATGCTCATTATTTTCCCGACAGACTGATAATCATATTTTTGATAAAATTACAGTAAGATTCATGCAAAAATAAAAACTTACGGTAGGATAATCTCCCTTCTTTCTCTTGGCTCCTTGGACAATCTCCTGCTCCTTCTTTCCGAGCTGTTTCTTGACCGGCACCAGTTTCTCATCCTCCTTCTTTTCCTCCTTTTCTCCGCCCTTCTTGCTCTTGCTCTTGGATTTCTCCTTTTCTTCGCCCTCTTCCTTTTTCTCCTCTTCTTTGCCCTCTTTTTCGTCGGGTTCCTTCTGAAAAAAAACCCGAATTATCACTGTAAAATATGCAAATATAATATATTAGGACAAGCGATGATGTGCGATTCCAAGACGCGCTAAATCCACATTATTTTCCCGACAGACTGTTATTTTCATAAAGTGCATGGACATTTTGTTGCGGTCTGCACCGTGCACAAACCTCCCCGATCTTTTGCACCGTGCATTTCACCTTTTTTGGTTTTGCACTGTGCAATCCAAATATCGCTTGTCGCGGCACGCACTGTGCACAAAAATCCCCGACTTTTTTGCACCGTGCGCTTCCTCCTTTTTTTGTTTTCGCACCGTGCATCGAAAATGTCGCTGCGACGTAAGCTTTTCCCAACTGCGTCGCCGCGGTTCTGCGCGAGAATTTGCACAGTGCAAACGGGTTTTTTGAAGTTTGCACTGTGCAAAAAGAGAGAAAATGCACTGTGCGGTGGCGACAAGCGTGGGAAAAAGTTCAAAATGCACTGTGCGTTGGCGACAAGTGTGGGAAAAAGTTCAAAATGCACTGTGCATTGGCGACAAGCGTGGGAAAAGGTTCAAAAAACGCAAAATTTCTCACCTTTTCATCGGCTTCCTCCTTCTTCGATTCCTGTTTTTCCTTCTTACTCTTGCTCTTAACCTTGCTCTTCTCGCTCCTCTTCTCACTCTTCTTGCTCTTTTCCTTCTTCTCCTCGGGCTTTTTCATCTTGCTTTCTTCTTTCGGATCGTCATTCTTGGGCTGGAAAAGATAAAAAATCCCAAAAAATAAATAAAAAATCTAAAAAAACCCTGAAAATCCAACTCACCGCCGGTTTCTTCTCCGCGGCCGCTCCCTTGCCCGCTGCGGGCTTGTTGTCGGACGGCTTGGCGGGCTTCTTTTTCCCTCCACAATTCAGCCAGATTGCCGAGAACACAGCCACATACAAGGCGATTGTACCAAGAAACCGGAAGAGTTCGACTGAAGACCGAAATCAAAAAAAAGTAAAAATTGAAAAAAATCGACGAACTCGGGGGAGAAACACTCACTTTCAGCCAAAACATTCGGGCCGCTGAGCATGATCGACTGGTCGAAGGCGCCGCGAAGCGATAGGAATAAAAGCGGGCGCACCGCCGACTCAAATCCAAGGGGAATGAGGGCGTGAGAAAATTTTGAAAAATCAAAAAAAAAAAAAATTTAATTTTGGCCAAGTTCAATCGAAAAATTTTCATAAATTTCTCGGTCAAACTTGAAAAAAATCCCCAAAAACTAAGCTCTCAAACCTTTACAATTTTATTTATTTTTTCCTGCTTATCGCCTAAATAACGAACGAATATTTTTCTATAGTCTCCACCAGGACTGGGTGGCGCGGATTTGGACGTAGTTGGGGATGGCTTCGGTTCGGCCAACTCCGCCGACGGCCAGGTCGCGGTCGTAGACGTGGCGACTGACGGCTTCGCGAACGGCGCCCGCGGTCAGGCGGCGGATCTTCTCTTCCAATTCGGCGAGGCTCTCAAAGTCGCCGGTGTGGAGGATCTAAAATACGTAAAATACGGATTTCAAATTTTCGCATTTTCCTGATAGCTTCAAAACGAAAAAAAAAATATTGAGAATAACCTTTCTCGGAAAATTTTTTGAAGAGGAATCCCCAGGTGCGACCCTTTGCTTTTGATGAAACTAGACACAAAATTTAGAATAGAGTTTTCTGAGAGATATGTGAAAGTTTTAGCTTGCGATTTGCAAAATTCGCCGAGATTTCTGGCTCAAAGGTGAACAAAAAATCGGATTTCTTTGACCATGTTTCCTTTGAAAATTTCTGCTTCTATTAGTAGTGAGGTGTATAATGTTTCCACAAAAAAATGATTTTTTTACAAGCAGAATTCAAAAAGCTACTGTCAAAATTATTTTCTCTGTCAAGAAAAATAACTATTGAATTCTGCTTGCAAAAAAATCATTTTTTTTTTTTTTGTGAAAACATTATACACTTCACTGCTAATAGAAGCAGAAATTTTCAAAAGAAACATGATCAAAGAAATCCGATTTTTTCTTCACTTTGAGCTAAAAATCCCGGCGATTTTAACAAATCGCAAGCTAAAACTTTCACATATCTCTCAGAAAACTCCATTCTAAATTTTGTGCCTAGTTTCATCAAAATCAAAGGGTCACACTTGGGGATACTCCTCAAAAACTTTTCCAAGAAACCTTAAGAAATCACTCATTTTTTCATATTCCTAAACCTACTCTAGTCGCTAAATGATGAGCATGAGACGTGTTGTCTCCAAGACGGCTCAATAAAACGGATCTCAGCTGATTCTTGGCGCGGTCGACTTCCTCATCAGTCAATCCGGTGGCATGATGTTTCCAGGCGCGCTGCGCTTGCGACACAATATAATGCGAGTCCTCCTGGTCTTCTCCGCTGCTCACATATCTCAGACCGAACAGTCCGGTGTCGGCGTAGTTCACCGAGAAGGGCTCGAAAACTTTGAGGCCATGCAGTTGGCTGATTTGTTGGACGGCACGGACTGGAGCATTCAAGCCGGTGCCGTGAGTGATGTCCCATTGGCCGGTGAGTTGGACCGAGAGCTGGAAAATACAAAAAATCATATAACTTTAGGTAAAAATTAAAACATTTTTTACAAAAAATCTAACAAGGAAAGTACTTTTATGGGGGCTCCTACTTTTTAACGGGACATATCTCAAAAAATCAGAAAAAATGCGCTGATCAAGGATATATAAATCTTAGCTGCCCATTTTGGGTTTTTATGGGTGAAAATGCCCAAAAACTGGCTTAATTTTCACAAAAGGCGCAGGCATTCGAAACGATAAAAAGCGCAGTCGTCCTCTTCCTTTGGAAGAGAGCGGTGTGGCCGAGTGGCTAGTGCCGTAGTCTGGGAATCAAGAGGGGGAACGCCGCACGGGTTCGATTTCCCTTTTGGGTTGAATTAACTTTTTTTGAAGTTGAAGGTCGGAAAAATAAATTTTTGGGCCAAGACTGATTTATTACATCTTAGAAACTCAATAAGCATCATTTCAAGCCAAAATAAAAATTGTAAACCTGTGAAAAATTAAGCGAAAAAGGGGTTCATATAGGACTTTAAGCCAACTTCCGATTGAGTTTTCACCCCTAAAAACCTAAAATGGGCAGCTAAGATCTATATATCCTTGATCAGCACAATTTTTCTGATTTTTTGAGATATGTCCCGTCAAAAAGTAGGAGCCCCCATAAAAGTACTTTCCTTGTAAGATTTCGAGCAGCATTATCTCAAAGACGTTCCAGAAATTCAAAACGGCCTTAATAAATACCACTTCAGCCAAAAAATTCACTAATATAAAAATTTTTTGCCTACTACAATATCGGACCTCCAAAAAAATCGTCAAAACTCCGTTACCTGCAAAGGCAAGGCGTCCGGATGTCCGTTGGGGACTCCTTCAACAGCCAAGGCCACATACAATCCTGGGTACGAATCGTCTCTGTATTGGAACTCAGATCCGGTGAATCGGGTGCCGAGAGGGGCGGGGACGGCTCGCTTGTACTGGTTGTCCAAATCACCAAAGTTGGCTTTAGCAAAAGCTTCCAACTGGCCATGGGGGACTCCTCCAACAGCGGCGACAACAACGCGGTCGGCTTTGTAGTGATCATCGGCAAAATCGATCACGTCTTGGCGAGTGAGGTTTCTGAAGTAAAAGAAGGATAATTTTGAACATTTTTACAGTAACCTTGAAATCTTGAGCCCTCTAAAACATAGCTGACTTCATTTCCAACCCTCAAAAACTTTAAATTCTCCCTCAAAGGCAAAATTCTCAAAAATTTTCAGCCTCCGTCGCACCTCCACCTAAAGTAATAAAACATTTCAGTAAAAACCTTACTGAATGGCCTCGGCACGTCCATAAGGCGACAGTCCAAGGGACGTTCCTTGGAAAGCAGTCATATGAAGATAATCAAAGGCAACTTCTTCATGATTACTCTCAACTTCTTCCAACTGTTTGATAACAACTAGTTTGGCGGCCTCAACATCAGCAGCATCGAATTTGGGGCTTCTCAGGACATCGGCCAAAATCTCAGTGACAGGTTCGACATTTTGGTTCTCAACCTGGACGAAATAAGCAGCATGATCGCGGCTGGTAAAGGAATTCAAACGAGCACCGTATTTGGCCAAATCAGCTTGGAGTTGAGTGGTGGAGCGCTTGGCGGATCCCTAAATAGATTGAAATCACTCTTACTACCAACAAGAATACATATTCCGATTTATAGATGAGCAGGAGAGATCTAAACATCAAAAAACAAGAAAAATTGTGCTTACCTTGTAGATCAACTGCTCCAAAACTTTAGCAACTCCATTGTTGTCCTCAGTCTCGTAACGGGAGCCAGAATCAACCCAAACACCAATCTAAACATTCACGGAATTATTTACCATCTTATGAAAAGAAAAATGTTATAAAATTTGGAAAATTGTCTTACAGTAGAGACGGGCTTGTTGTTGGTAGAAGAAACAACGCGAACTCCGTTCTTCAACTCGCTCAAAGTAGGTTCAGAGGCGGAAAGGACATCACGGGCTTGTTTGGCAAAACCACTCTGAAAAAGAAGGAAGTACACATGGAGTTTGACCTTATACTAGATATTAATTATAAATCGCCGTCCGGTGTGTTACAAAGCCCGTACTCAAACCATAGACGTTTGAAAATTGCCAAGGAAGACTTGCTCTACTTTTTCAACGCAAAATGCCTTTCAGTCTTGCAGTTCAGTACAATATAAAACCTCCTTACAAACCCCTAAATCCGGCATTACAGTGCCTCAAATTGTGTCTAAAATTCGAAGCAAACAATAAAAAACAATTTTCACATACCTGAAGTCTCTTGGACACGACAACTCCTTGTTGAAGGCCAGATCTCAACATCTTTGGTTTCTAATATCGGCCCAACCTAAAATTAAATTTTTTGAGATGAAAACAATGTAAAATACGAAGAAAACAATATGGAAAACATGTAAACTTTCATTTTGGATAGCGAAAAAATGCAGAGCAATATAAATTCGGTCCTGATTTCGCAGGGTTTTCGTGGTGGGAAAGAGAAAAATAATTCTGGAAAAAGATTCGGTCAAACATTGGAATCTGATCGAAATTTGGGTAGCTAGCAAATTTTTTGGTAAAATTCGAACAGTTCTAAAGTTTAGAAGGACCGTCAGCCCTGTTATCATGCCGTTTGAAATTTTCTTCGCTTTTATTGTGATGGTTAATATAAATTGTTACTTATTCTTGTCGTTTTGCCTTCCTATTTCTATTTTTTTATAATAATATCTTCTAAAATCGTCAGTCTTGCCATTTCAGTCACGAATGACATCAGATTCACCCGAGACATCGCTAAAAACGAACCGAAAACAGTGCTATGCAGCTCGAGATGCCTACCTCCGATGTATGGACGAGAACAACCACGAGGAGAAGAAATGTCGGGTTTTTATGACCGATTTCAAAGCCAAATGTCCCGCTTCATGGGTGCCACATTTTATTAGGAAACATCAGTTTGAGAAATACAAGAATCAGTTAGAAACGCAAGGAGTAACGACAGCAGATGAACAGTACGAGAAAGCGAAGCAACCGACGCCGTAAGGGCTTTTAATTGTTATTGTTGATATTTAGGAAGGATCTATAAATATTTACGCTTCTTTTGACGTAAAAATTTGTCGGACTCATTCGGTGTTCATCGAGTTATGGTCTTATTGACCTGATGGGTCAAGTGTAATATAACTTTCTATAAGAAAAGGCCATTTTTGAATGTTTTTATGCTGAAAAAGGCTAGTTTTAGTCGTATCAGCCCACATACTTCTATTCCAACTAATTTTTACATACTTCTTGACATTAAAATTAGCAATTTTATATTTATTTATTGACAAAACTCATGGATAATAAAAAAAATACCAGGGACAGAAGACAGGGAAGAGAATACACAGAGGATCGGTAGACATTTTGGAATCGTTTCGTTACCCCAAGAAGAGAAAGCAACAACTCGCCCGAATACGGGGAAAAATGGGTCCACATGGGCATAACGTAGGCCGATTTGTACAAACCAAGACTGAAATTTTACTGCGTCGCGCATTGAACTTGAGGTCCGCTGCCTTCATGGCCGTTCTCTTGAGCATGTATGGTCTCGGGGCTGACTTCAATGAGTTCTTTTTCTTCAACAATATCAGGGATTTCGACTTGTGGTTTTCCGGGAAGCAAGGCGAATAATCGGGCAATGTTGCGCTCGTTGATTTTGTCGGGGAATTCGACTTTGAAATGGATGATGAGGTCTCCTTTCTCGTCGGGATGCTTGTGTCGCGGCATACCTTCATGTTGAACAATCTTGGTGTCATTGTGCTTGATTACCTCACCTAAAACAATTTGAAATTAGTAGAAACATGATTTTCGAGTCTCAAGACAACTAATAAACATAATTTTACTCATTTGGAAACATCAAAAATTTTCGAAAAAAATTCTGATTTTTGAACCTAAAACAATATAAAAAAAATCTCAAAATCTTACCAGGTAGAGTCGTAAACATGATCTGCCTTCCATCCAACGTCTTGATCTTCCTCTGCGTTCCGCACAAGGCTTCAGTGATATTCAATTGTTGGCTGAGAATTAAATTATCGCCCTCTCGCGTGAAGACGGGATGGTTCTGTTCGTCCAGTACAATCACAACATTCCCGGGCTCCTTTCCCTTTTCCTGGTCTCCTTTTCCGTAGAACACGATCTTCTGGCCATCTCTGGCGCCCTTGTTCACAGCGACTTCAATGATTTCCTCGACTTTGACTCGTTTCTTTCCGCCGCAAGTGGTGCAAGGTACGGAGATGATCTCGCCCTCTCCCTGACATTTACTGCAAGCCTGTTGAGATCGTTGAACAAAGCCCGGGGCGATTTGAATATTGCGGATCACAACTCCATGGCCATCACACTGAGCGCATTGTTTGACGGAATCGGCGGATCCTCCGATTCCATCGCACGTTTGACAGAGGACGAATCGTTTGATCTTCAAATTCTTGGTGAAACCAGTGTACATCTTTTCCAGGGTTACAGTCATTTGATGAATCATGTCGCGAACTTTGTTCTCGCGTTGCTGTCGGCTGCCTCCACCTGAAAAAACGAAGGGAATACAGAGAATTATGTTATTGACTCTTACAGATGCCAGATTAAGATAAAATGGTTTCATAGCTCTCTTGTAAAGCCTAGATCGCCACAAATAATGGACATTTAGCTACCTTATGACCTGTTTAAGCTGCAAGAGTAACATACTTCACTCCTTTTGCAAAATTTAACCATCTATTCCGAATTTTACATGAATGCCAGACTTGCTGGTAGGCTTAGATAACATGAGCTTTCAAAGTCTCGTTTTGGACCAAAACGCTGTGCATTCCCGCATAAAAGCTTCTCTATAATATCTTACATCTATTAGGACACTTTAGACACAAGTTTTTGTCGAGATCGAATAGTTTTTAGCTATATTACCTATGGCATGTATCAAATTCCACATTTCCTTTTTCTAAACTTCACAACAAGAAATTCACAAATCCTTACCAAAGAACATGTCGAAAATGTCCATAGGGTTGTGCATTCCACCACCACCACCGCCTTCTTTGATGCCTTCTTCTCCATATTTATCGTAGATCTCTCGTTTCTTCGGATCGCTCAAAACTTCGTAGGCCTGTGAGATCAGCTTGAATCTTTCTCCCTCGTTCGGGTTCTTGTCTGGATGGTATTTCAGGGCCAGCTTCCTGTAGGCCTTCTTCAATTCGGTTTCGGAAGCGCCGGGTGAGACTTCGAGAACATCATAATATTTGGTATCCTTAACCATATTTGAAAATTACGACAAGTGAGACTGTCAGTGAGTCCTGTAAAATGAAGTAAATTTTATAAAATTCATGGTTTCAAACAAATATACGCGCGAATTCATCAACAAAAATGAGGAAAACATCTTCGACGCCTACTACAACGTATTGGAGAGAAAACACCTCATTTCTAGAAAAATCAGCAAAGTGCATAAAAGCGAAGAAGAGCCCGGACCTTGTTCCACCTAAAGGTTATAAAAAGTCTTTACAAAAGTGTTACCTTCTTCGCAAAAAATAAATTTATACCTAAAATGATGTCTAGTGTAATATGGGCTAGAGAAGAATCGCGCACAACCTACAAAGAGGTATGTAAAGGGGTGATAAACTGATGTTATACTTGCCAGAAATATTAGCACAACTTTTTCAGGCTGGAAAAAGAAAATTCGAGACATTTCGCTGAGCGCGGGAGATTTGAAATTTCAGACGGGACATTTTATACGATGAAACCGGAGGGGATAAATTTTGAAGGAAAAATGGGATAGATGGAAGGAGAGGAATGTGAGATTGCAAAATACGTCAATTATTTGCATCAATCAAAAAAATTTTTATATTACCCATGAAGATCAATCACAAAAAAATAAAAAATTTCATTTTTTTATTTCAATAGTGTAAAATACGTTATCCACTAGTTTCAGTCATCAAAAAAATACAACTTCTACGTATTCCATTTAATTGCCGAAGTTTCTTGTTCATTTGCGACCAAAAATTTCTAAAATACGACATAAATAAAATTCGTACTTTACAACTTCTTACATCATAATCCACAGCGATCAGTTGCGTACACCCTGTTTTCTTCAAATCCAAGTGTTTTTCCCTCAATTTGCGGCCATTCGCCAACAATTTCCATCTGGATATCACACCCATGTCTGTTAATGTGAATAGTGTATTTTTGGCCCAACATGCAGATACCACATGCTCGGCTGCCGTGAAATCCCATCTATATAGGGGTCCAATTACACGGTCCATATCAAAAACGAACAAAGTCTGTTCGCATTTGAATAAAATCGCAAACATTCGGGGCTCCATTGGGATGAAGAGGGAGTCCGAGGACTAAAATACGATTTTCACCGTGGTAACCAAATTTAATATGTCAGTGTAATATACCATTCGAAAGCTGAGAGAACAAGCTTTCGAACGGTATACAACTTACATTCCGTTTCTTGTCGTACACGTAGTATTTTACACCGGAACTTGGTGCGGTCGTGTTCATCCGCACGGCCATGTTCCCGAGGACACAGTTGATGGTTTGACTGTATACCATCAACGAAACTGGTGGTAATTTGCAGAATATAGGGCAAATATTTATACTAGAATCAAGGATTTGAATTTTGATCGGAAATTTGCATAAAAATGAGATGTTTTAAAATTCGTATATCATTAAAAAACAACCTGCCAAATATGGCAAATGATGACTAAACCAGGCATCAAAATAACTTACAATTGTAGCTCACCAGTTTTTAGCGCTACTTTGTAAAATTTCCCATCGTCCGTCGCCAAATAGGCTTGGCAACGAGGGGCCAAAGAGAAGGCCGTACAGTGAAATGGGAGGTCAAACTGCCCCAATAATTTGGTGCTGATCACATCGAATACCAAAAAGGTCGACTCACACCATAACTAGGCGAACAATAGAGCATTTCAATTTCAAAAACTTACTGTAAAATACCGATGATCGCAGCAAATTCGGCAGTTTTTGTTGGCGAGGGCTTCGTCTCGAATGCTGACTTGTTTCGGAATCTGAAACAGCAAGTTCGACGCCCAGACTATCATCAAATTTTACACACTTGTCGGGTGTGGGCCGCATATAAATTATTGCAAATATTAGCTCGCGCTTTGCAGGAATAGCGGAGATATTCAACGATCGGCCGAGAGAGTATGCAAAACGTGGAGAGCAGAGAGAAAACACCTTTTAGCCGCAGCTTCGTCAGTTTCGCGTGGAAAAACTTGATTTTTTGTGGGAACATTATACTCTACAGTAGAAATACATATGAAACTTTTCGTGCAAAATTCGCAAAAAAATCAAACCATAAAAATTTCAGAAAGATCAAATATATAGTTTTTGAGATATCGGACATTCAATGTCTCATGTGCAAGATCACCTTGACCCCGAAAAAATCTGGCATTCTTAGGTTTTTGGCTAGGCGCAGATTTTGAAAGTTTCCAATACATTTTTATGACATTTTAGGAGGAAATAGAAAGTTTCAGTGGAAAAAAGTGAATAGTTTTTGAGATATCGACCATGGTGAACCTGTTATAGGTCAAGTTGCTGGAAAATTGGACCAATTTTCTTCGGCATCTCTTTTTTTCCGAGATATATGTGTGTTACTGTTTTTTTCTCCAAATTGTCACAAATAAATTCGAGCTCTCTGCAAAATTTTTGTCAAATGTACGCCGAAGGGTACGATTCTGTGTTCTGATGACCTAAAACAAGGTATTTTGGTCGATTTCTCAAAAACTATTCATTTTTTTCCTCTGAAACTTTCTATATCCCCCTAAAATCTCATAAAAATGTATTGGAAACTTTCAAAATCTGCGCCTAGCCAAAAACCTAAGAATGCCAGATTTTTTCGGGCATCTGATGACCTAAAACAAGGTATTTTGGTCGATTTCTCAAAAACTATTCATTTTTTTCCTCTGAAACTTTCTATATCCCCCTAAAATCTCATAAAAATGTATTGGAAACTTTCAAAATCTGCGCCTAGCCAAAAACCTAAGAATGCCAGATTTTTTCGGGGTCAAGGTGATCTTGCACATGAGACATTGAATGTCCGATATCTCAAAAACTATATATTTGATCTTTCTGAAATTTTTATGGTTTGTTAGACGAGGGTTGAAGTTTAGTATTCCGGTTTCAAAATCTGCGCCTCGTCCGAACTGCATTTTATATACCCGAAATGGTATGTTGTCTCAAGTGTAACATAGCTTAGATGTAATTTTTAGTTTTCGGTGACAATTATTTTTTAGTTTTCGGTGACAATTACAAAAATGTTCTGCATGATCGAAAACATATACCTGAACTCAATTTGCGCTGAAATAGCGCTTCGTTTTCTCGATTAGGGCATATCTTTTTTTAAAAATGATGCTACAGTATGCCGTCATACGGTAATTTTGGGCAAAAACAAAGAAAGCGAATGTTTTGTGCCTATCAGTGATTAAGTTGACCAATTTTCGTTCAATTCTGAGATGCCGATTTTAACAATGTCCGCCCTCTGTTAGGCTAAGCTCCAAAGTGTGGCAAAACGCGTTTTAAAAAACATTTTTGATCGGCCTTTGGAAGCTACGTAGAAAACTTACCAGTAAATTCTCCATAGGCCATATTTCAATGACCAAATAGTTGTCGGTGGTTCGGAGAAGAAAGAGGTAGAGCGACTGTAAATACCGTAAATAAAAAAAAATACATTGGCTTTTTATTGTCGATATAAGTTTTCACATCCTCTTTTTTTCACATGACATGCGTAAGAATAGGCCAAGAGCCTACTTTTTTTCCAATTTTGAGAAAGAAAAACGAGGCAAGGGAAAAGTTACACAAAGGTACCCTTGGTTCTTTTCACCAAATTTGAATAGGCAAGGCAAAATGCAACACGGATCGCAGTTTCGACATGATGACTTTTTTCCACGAATAATTTTTGCTTAAAGAAAATTTGAGTGTCGCACTTGAGAGCCTTGTAAGGTGTTACCAGGGCATTTATTTATCAGGCTGTCGGGAAAATAATGTGGACTTGTTCGTAGAAAAATGTCTCTCCTCGTCGCACCTAATCTCTGACAATGAGTGCGACTTTCGAAGCGATGATGGGTTACTTCAAGGCGCAAAGAATCCACATTATTTTCCCGACAGAGTTGTACTTAAATAAGTATTTTCATAAAGTGCGTAGACATTTGTCGCGCCCCGCACCGTTCACAAAAAACCCTCCTTTTTTGCACCGTGCATTTCGCCCTTATTTGGTTTTTGCACCGTGCGTCGAAATATCGCAGCGACATAAGCAAGTTTCAGCTTCGTCGCGCGACGGTGCCAAGAATTTGCACAGTGCAAACGACTTTTTTGAGGATTGCACTGTGCGGAAAGAGAAAAATGCACTGTGCGTTGGCGACAGGCGTGGGAAAAGTTTTGAATTTGCACAGTGCAAACGACTTTTTTGAGGATTGCACTGTGCGGAAAGGGAAAAAATGCACTGTGCGTTGGCGACAAGCGTGGGAAAAGGTTCAAAATGCACTGTGCGAAACAAAAAAACATTTTTTTTGCACCGTGCATTTTACCTCTTTTTGATTTTCGCACTGTGCATCGGAATACCGCAGCGACGATGCCAGAAATTTGCACAGTGCAAACGGCTTTTCTTGACTTTTGCACTGTGCGAAAAGAAAAAAATGCACTGTGCATTAGCGACAAGCGTGGGAAAAAGTTCAAAACGCACTGTGCAAACGTCCGCACCGTGCACAAAAAATCTTTTGCACCGTGCATTTTACCCCTTTTCGCACTGTGCGTCGAAATGCCGCAAGTTTCAGTTTCGTCGCTGCGACAGTGCCAGAAATTTGCACAGTGCAAACGGCTTTTTTGAGGATTGCGCAGTGCGAAAAGAGAAAAATGCTCTGTGCGTTGGCGACAAGCGTGGGAAAAGGTTCAAAATGCACTGTGCGAACGAGAAAAAAAATTCCATGCACTTTATGAAAATACGAATATGTGAACCACTGCTTTACATTACTCTTCCAATTCTTTTGCAAACCTGATACCAATCCCATTCTCCGGTTCAGAATCCTAATCTTGCTCTGCGATCTTCTCCTCCGTTCTTTGTGTTCATTTTTTTCATTTTGCGTCTTCCAAGAGAATCAAAAAACCCAAGGGAAGGGAGACCTTTATAACGACCTGAAAGAGTGAATCGGAAAAAATTTTTAAACGCTGTTTTTGGAGAGCTCGAAATTTGGGTTGCGCAATGGACTTTTTTTTGTATTTTTGACGGAAAATATCCGCAAAGATCGCCGCTTTCGGCGGTTTATGTGACTTGAAAGAGACTCGTTTTTATGGGATTGGAATTTTTGTTTCCTTAAAATACTAGTTAATGGGATTTTTTAATGCTTACAACTTAGAAATTTTAGTCTTTCAAGTAGCGAAATGCAGGTTTTTTGTGATTTTTTGGACTAACTTTTGGACAGGATTTTTGATTTTTCTTCGAAGCTCACACTGTTCAATTTCGTTTAAAATTTTGCACACTCTCAGTCTGTCGGGAAAATAATGTGGACCATCGAAAAACGAGTGCAATCGCTTATCAAATCTCCAGCGGCGGCTAGTCGCCGCAAAGCGATGATGGACGATTCCAAGGCGCGACAAATCCACATTATTTTCCTGACAGACTGATATTAGCATTTTCATAAAGTGCACGGACATTTGCCGCAGCCCGCACCGTGGACAAAAATCCCCGCTTTTTTAAGGTTTGCACGGTGCGCAAAAGAAAAAATACACTGTGCGTTGGCGACAAGTGTGGGAAAAGGTTCAAGATGCATTGTGCGGAAGCGAAAAAATGTCCATCCACTTTATGAAAATACCAAGCTCTTACTTTGCAACATACTCCCTAACTATTTACTAACAATAAGAAGGACGTGCAGTCAAAAAAAATAGCGATAGAAAAACTGAAGCGGAGCATTTTTCTACCTCATCTACCTTCAGACCGGTTCCGAAAGGAGAAATTCGAAGAAGAAACCTGAGGGCTCGCGGTCAGAAATCCTGGAGATTTTTTGTTTAGAAACAAAACTATCTAAGAGAGATATTCGATTTAAAAATTGGATAAAGCGGTTTGAATCCATTCTGAGATAATGCGATTTTCGTATGACCATTTTGCCTGGCAAAGATTAGTATTTTTTTAAAGTGCACGGACATTTTTTTTGTTTTTTTGCACAGTGCATTTTGGATTTTTGCCTTACCTCTCCGCAGCGGAGAATAATTTTTTTTCGTGAATTCGGGGCAGCAATAAATTAATTCTGCAGACTTTTTTTAAAACTTTTAATCGCGAGGTATACATTTTTCTTGATTTTCTCCAAGTTACCACTTTCAGAATGTAACCAACCCCCTCCAAAATGTTCCCCTTCACATTCCACACCCTTCGGCGGATAGTGATCCCAATAATTTTGATATACCTCTTCCTTGCCGCCCTATTCTACATCCACAGCTTGAATCTGAATCCGCAAAAAGCGCCGGATTTTGGATTCGACAAGAAAAAGCCGATCGATGGCCCGTTGGTTATGCGAGACAACATCTTCGAGGATGGCCAGAGAAAAGTGATCGGAGGCGTGGTTCTGCTGAACCCGATGACTTTAGATCAAGGGGATCCGCCGATTCAGAAACTGAATAGCACTCCGGTGGAGGATTTGAAAGTCAATGAGGAGTTTTTGAAGGTAAAAATGAGATTTTTTATATTGTACTAGAGTAGGTCTTCAAGGGTCAGAACTCCAAGAGAGACTTTTCGATTACCTTCAAATTTTGCATACAAAGTGCAGATAGGTTATGTATCAATCACTGAAAATTTGAGGTCATTTCTTAAAGGGAAAGCTGAGATATTCAATGATCTTGAGAGAGAGCACGTAAAATGAGGAGGTCGGTCAGACAAAAATATCACAATTTTGTCTATAACTTTTCGAGTTCTTTTTGGAAAAGGCTGATTTTTAGTGGAAACACGGTTCGTATTATTAGTAATAACGCCGGAAATTACCAGGCCGATAAATCCAAGAAAAATGTCAAATTTTTAAATTTTTTTGAATGCAAAATTTAACTTTTTTTTGATTTTTAATTAAAATTTTTCTGGTTTTGTGTAAAATTAGATACAAAAAGCATTTACACCACAAATATAAATTTTTCAAGAGGATTTTGAAAAGTTCTTGGCAAAAAAAATTTTTTTTCTCTGTCAACTCTCCTCATTTTACGTGCTATCTCTCAAAAAAGTTTTTCGAATATCTCAACTGCGCTTGGAAAAGGCGAGAAAAAATTTGTAGGGATTTACCTGTGATCTATGTAGAGTGTATTTGCAAAATTTCAAAAAAAATCGACTGATTTTTTTCGAAATTTTTTATCGATTGAAAAATTTTTATGCTCCAAAATCAACATTAAAATGATTTTTGAAATCTAAAAACCCTATTTTTCAGGGTCTAATCCGCAAATCCAAAAAAATCCACGACAAAAACGATCTCGTTATGTTCACCATGATCAATGATGCCTACCTCAATTTAACGCTGAATTGGCTGTGTAATACGTACTCTCTGCCGGGGCAATCGGTCCACGATAAGACGGTGTTCGTCACGGTTGGGAATGAAACATGCAAGAGGATTCAAAAGGATTGGCCAAAGGTGGAATGCGTCGAAATGAAGGCGGACTCGGCCTATGGGAGCGCAATGGACTGGGGGACCAATGGATATGCGAAATTCCTGGAGGCGAGGTTGAAAATGATCATTAAGCTGGTTGAGGTGAGTAGTGAACCTTTTCGTAGTGATTATTAATTTGCAAATATCAGTTTGTCGGGAAAATAATGAGCACAATGTAGCTGCGCCAATTGTGTCGCTAAAGTGAAAAGCAATTTGATTTTGCCGCGACACAATTAAGTTCTTCTGCGGCGAAGCGATTTTCGATGCGACAGAGTGCTCATTATTTTCTCGACAGACTGATATTGTATTGAAAATATAATATTTTAACAATGAAACCCTACGTAATTTCGACACTTTTCATTCTACAGTAATGGAAAAGTAGTGGGAATTGGAATTTGCATCATTTTTCCGCGACAACCTGCTATTATTTTCCCGACAAAGTGATGTTATAATAGTAATAAGACTTTCACATCATGAATCCACATTATTTTCCCGACAGACTGCTTCTTGGACATTTTTTTGCTTTCCGCACCGTGCACAAAACCCCCCGGTTTTTTGCACCGTGCATTTCACATTTTTTTCTTTTTTTTGGTTTCGCACTGTGCGGCGAAAATGTCGCTGCGACATAAGAAAGTTTCAACAAGTCGCAGCGTCGAGAATTCGCACAGTGCAAACGGCTTTTTTGTGGTTTGCACTGTGCGAAAGAGAAAAAATGCACTGTGCGTTGGCGACAAGCGTGGAAAAGATTTTTGTATTTGCACGGTGCAAACGGCTTTTTTGAGGTCTACACTGTGCGAAATCAGAAAAATGCACTGTGCGTTGGCGACAAGCGTGGGAAAAGGTTCAAAATGCACTGTGCGAAAAAGAAAAAATGTCCATGCACTTTATGAAAATACTAATATCTCTTTGTCGGGAAAATAGTGAACTCTACGTCGCAGAAAATCGCATCGCCGCCAAGAAAATGAACTGTCTCGCGACAAAATCAGATTGCTTTCTCTTCAGCGACGCGATCCGCAAAAACTACATTGTGCTCATTATTTTCTCGACAGACTGACTGTAGTATATGTACAGGGTGACCCAAAAAAACGATCATCAAATTTGTTTGTGTCCTACCGCGAAAATTTTTAGGTGCATGGAAATAATTCTCGCACTGTTAAATTCTCCGTGTTTTTCTGTCCTAGTCCTTCCCTTTTCATGTCCATATCGATTGACTAACATGCTTTTTTTAAATGTCAAACAAAGGAACTGCGATTTTGGGGCCGTTTCTACAAAAGGAAACTTGTTAATTTGCTAGATGTGGAAAGGATGCTGTGTCGAAAACAATCACAAGATACAAGTAGCTTGGTAACATTAGTAAGCGTCCAGGAAGTGAAAGAAAACGCACCTCCAACGCTTCTGCGAGACGCGGGATCATTAACAACAAAATCGACGAATTTCGAGAAAAAATCGCCCGCAAAAACGGTATCATCGATCGATCCGTCTACCAAGTAGCCAAAGATAAGCCCAACCCCGTACTGTACAAGCTGCAAAAAGGTCAACTCCTCAAGGGCGACAACAAGCGTGTACAGCGCCAGAGATGCCGGAAACTCAAGGGTCGGGCCGCAGCTCAAAGACATGAGCGCATTCCCTTCGCGGTTCAACGTCTAGCGGAAGCACGACTACCAAAACGACAGGATCTGACTCAATAAGGCCCCGAGCACATTAGCTAACGTCGAAACCCGAAAAAATCCGGAGCGTTTCCCTCTGTGGCGGAATTTGTGCCAGCGGCAAGAAATCCATGCTTTTAGTGGATCAAGAGGGCAAAATTTTAGCGCCGCGTTAATCTCTATCTCGTCGTGCTTCCGTTGACTCAGAAGAACCTTGGCGATGCAAATTTGGCGTTCCAGCTAGACTCAGCGCTGGTTCACAAAGCAAAAGCGACTCAAGACCAGTAATGGGACCGATTTTTCCGATTTCACCGGGTCTGCGAAATGTGCCCTTGCTCGCCGGATCTGAATCCAATGAACTGCAATTTTTTTCAATTGAAGGCCAGCACCTGTACTATACGTCACAAAAGTTTGGAGCCACTGAGTGATCGCTGCGCTGAGAACGGGAACGATTTCCCAGAAAAAAGTTGCGGCCCCGAGCCCAAAACTTTAAGTCATGTCTGGAGCTCTATATCGCCGCCAAGTGCAGCTGCTTTAAAACTAGCTTAATACTTCATCACCAGGATTGCTGTTTATCGTTTGAATTCATAAGTTTTTGCTTGTACCAAAAAATAAGGTTTTTATTCCGAAAAGTCTTGATGATCGTTTTTTTGGGTCACCCTGTATATAATACTTTCATTTTTCAGGCCAACCTAAACCTTGTAATCTTCGAGACGGATGCTGTTTGGTGGAAAAACCCGATGCAATTGTTCCATGAGGCCTTCAATAACACGGAAACGGACCTTACAATCCCAGTGAACTTCAAAGAAACTAATGGCCAGAAATTCGCGTTTGACCCGATGTGTGTTCGCCCAACGTATGAGACGAAGACAGTGTTCAAGGAGATCCAGGAGAGCTTGAAAAGCCAGAAGAAATTGATGGATCAGGTGGGGAAATTTGAAGTTTTTACGAAATATTGACATCTCTAGAAGCCTTAAATATGTAAGAATGTATAATACGGCCAGGAAAAGTCACTGTTTTTGTTTAAGCCGATCAATTTAATATTTTTGGTCAATTAAAAAATTTTGAAGCCAAAAAGATGTCAATTTTGAAATCAAAAATAGTAGGTAAAACTATATCAGGGACGTATTTTACATTGACATTAATTTCTGCCTAAAATTTTTTAATTTGGTAAATTTCGACCAAGCGGGAATCGAACCTGCCCCAAATTTTGTTTTTTCACAACCAATTGCGCCATTCGGACACACTGTCCGAAATTTTATAAAAACCAAGTCTGCATGCCCTAAGGGCTTTAAAAAGATCCTTTGACTTTTTTACAACCCTTTATCTTACTAATAATTACTATTAGGTTGATGCAAAAGGAATTGCGGACTTTTTAATTTATTCGTATTTTTTTATAGGATAGCTCAATTCAAAAATGGAAAAAGGTATATAGTAGTAAATTTTAAGAGGATTTTTTCTGTATATATGCTATTCTCATAAAAGTTATCAAACGTTACCATAAGTTACCATGAAAGTAACCTAAATATGTTAGTATATTTTAAACCAATTTTTTTACATATTTTTTTGCGGCTTTATCCATTTTTGAAAAGATTTTGATAAAATACATTATATTCTATCAAAAAACAAAAAAAACCCCATTTTTGGCAAAGCGTTAAAACGCTATCCTAAAAATTCAATTTCAGCAAATTTTACAAATTGTGTCATATATTTTTTTAAATAAGTCCAAAATAAAAAATTCTTTTTGCTTTCGATTAGTAACAACATTTTTAAGGCTTTCGTGAAAAAAAGACATCAAAATCTTGAATTTTATTTTTTGGTAAAAAAATGTCAAAAAAATAAATTTTTTGATTTTGATGTTTTTTGTCACAAAAATCTTAAAAATGTTGTTACTAATCGAAAGCAAAAAGAATTTTTTATTTTGGACTTATTGAAAAAAAGATATGACACAATTTGTAAAATTTGCTGAAATTGAATTTTTGGGATAGCGTTTTAACGCTTTGCCAAAAATGGGGTTTTTTTTGTTTTTTGATAGAATATAATGTATTTTATCAAAATATTTTCAAAAATGGATAAAGCCGCAAAAAAATATGTAAAAAAAATGGTTTAAAATATACTAACATATTTAGGTTACTTTCATGGTAACTTATGGTAACGTTTGATAACTTTTATAAGAATAGCATATATACAGAAAAAATCCTCTTAAAATTTACTACTATATACCTTTTTCCATTTTTGAATTGAGCTATCCTATAAAAAAATACGAAAAAATTAAAAAAACCGCAATTCCTTTTGCATCAACCATACTTTTAGGACATTCTCAACGCAAAATGCGCTAAAAAATCAATTCGCTGTAAATCCTTCAAATGGTCGGATGTCGCGGATGGAAAATGGTTCAAAATGAGTCAGAAGGAGAGAAAAAATTATAAGCCTTACATCGTCAATAATAATTACTATATTGGAGCGAAAAATAAGATGAGCCGACAAGCCCTGAACAACGCGTGGTTTTTGAGCCCCAAGGGCATTTGCAACAGCTCCAAGACCAAGAAAGCGCTGGCCAAACAAGCCTAGATGATTGTGGCGCTACTCTGTAAATCCTTACGATTCTACGATCACTGTAAACTCACGTTTTTGATTACTCTTTAAAATTTTTTGTAATTTTTTTATTTTTTTCAAGTTTCGGGTAACTTTTATACGGGAAATTTCTGTCAATAAAATAATGATATGAGGCTATTATCAGAATAAATAAAATTTTTATACAACTTTTGATTTTTTCATCGAATTTTGGGGCAAAACTTACCTTATCCTTCAAGTAAGTGGAGTCGATAATTTTCTCGACGTTCTTCGCATGGGGCGTAATTTTCAGCACCTCAGCGCCTTCTGGATTATCCACGGAGAACCAATTGATCAGCTGGAAAAATAAAATTCAGATTTTTTTGGGCGCACAATGAAAAAAACGGAGAAAATTGTGCATCGCGCGGGATTTGTATCCCCCCCCCCCACTTAAATTGGCCATAACTTTCTAAGTTCTTGGCCAAATGTTAAAATTCTTTTTTCCTTTGGGTCTTCAGACACTCCAATTTTTGTGTTATGAAATACGTTATACCTCTTCGCCGTACCACAGTAAAAATTAACAAACAAAAAAGCTCTAATTTCCATAATTGACAAGGAAAGTACCCAAAATGCGACGCTCAGATTTTCTTCATATTCTGCACACACATTGGGCATAGGCCACATATCAATCGCTGAAAGTTTTAGCTCGCGCATTGCAAGGACAGCCGAGATATTCAATGATCTTTGCGAGCAATACGGTACGAGAGGGCTCAGGCGGAGAAGTGCAAAAAGGCAAAGAAAAAAAAGTAAAGTTATGACTGAAAGATGGCCTGAATTTAGCAACCATGGAAAAAAGTCGCACTTTGTTGACGAATTCGTCAAATTCAACGGTATTTTTGCAAAAAAGTGTGAGGATTTTCAAAAAACCCCTTACATTTTCGTGATTAGCCATAATTGAGAGCACCTTCATCACTCTCGTATAGGCGCTCTGCTCAAATTTTCCGTCTTTATGATCGTATTTGACTTCGCAATACGTCTCCTTGCTCTCACATTCGTAGCCGCTGGTCTCCGAGGCTTTTTCCAACAGCACTCCGTGCGTTGGCATCGTCTGCGTTTGCTTTCGTTCCGTCGGCAGAACCTGAGAAGTGCGGTCGATTTCGTACCATGGAGTCAGGTTCAAGACCTCTTCGTCCACGTAGGAGATGACGTAGGTCTCGGTTTTGGAGGTGGCGCGGAGATCGCAGTCATCCTCCGAGTCCTCGAAGGAGGAGAGGCGCCCGGAGAGCTCTAAAAAAGCGGCAGATATTTGCAATATGCAATGGTACTAATTACTTCAAATTTAGTACATACTGCGGGCATATACCACATATAAATTCCACAAAATTCTTGCTCGCGTTTTGCAAAGGCAGCCAAGATATCAGTGACGGGCCTAATCCAGTGACAAAATGCGTATAATTTTGCATTCGGGAAGTATCAAAAAATGTAGCAAAATGCCTCCTTCTCCAAGTGAAAAATCTTCGTTTTGAAGGGCGCGCCTTTTCCCCCACAAAAATAGCGGGCGCGCTTTTGAAATCTGATTGCATAAAGGACAAGGGAAAGTTCCTCAAGTGCCTCTTTCAGATTTAAAAAAAGTGGCACAAATTTAGAAGATTCTTCCCTCAGGTACTGTGGGGGACCTGATCCAGTGGAAAAAAACGTACCATTTTGCATCCGGGAAGTATCAAAAATGTGGCAAAATGCTTCCCTTTCCACGTGAAAAAACTTCGTTTTGAAGGGCCCTTTCCCTCACAAAAAAGCGGGCTTTTGAAAGCTGAGTTTTTTCACTTGGACAGGGAGGTATTTTGCTACATTTCTTGATACTTCCCGGATGCAAAATGATACGTTTTTTTGCCACTGGATCTGGTCCGCCACTGTATGTCAATTCCTGAGAGTTTTAGCTCGCGCTTTCCAGGGACTCTTTGCGGCGAAAAAGCTTCGTTTTGAAGGGCTCGCCTTTCCCTCACAAAAAAGCGGCCGCGCCCTTGAAATCGGAGTTTTTTTCCACTTGGAAAAGGAGGTGTCTTGCCACATTTTTTGATTCTTCCCGGATGCAAAGTGGCATGTTTTTTCCCACTGGATCAGGTCCGCTACTGCACCAGTCTGTCGAGAAAATAGTGGCGGGTCGTCACAACAAAATGCTTCGCCTCGCCAAAGAAAAATTTTTTTTTCCAGACTGACGTTATAAAAGAACTTCAAAGCAACGCTCAGATTTGAATAAAATTTTGCACAAACTTGAAATAAATTTTTGTAGGCTGTTTGCAAGATTCCTACTCTCGTTTTTGTAAAAATGACCGAAATTTTTATTTTGAAAATTGAAAAAAAATATTACAAGTTTTTTTCCGAATTTTGGCACGAAAAGTTTCATGCCTATTTCTACTGTAGAGAGCATATGGCCAAGCTATATTATATATAAATTCATAGTTGCGCTTTTCCGAAATGACCGAGATTTTTACTCCAAAGGCAGCTCACATTTTCAAAAAAATTTTTTTTTAAATTTTGCCATGAAAAGTTTCATACCTATTTCTACTGTAGAGAGTAATATTTCCACAGAAAATTAATTTTTTTCGCTCGAAACTGGCAAAGATATGGCCAAAAAGTGTTTTATTTTGACCGCTCTCCGCATTTCGCGTACTCTCTCGGCCGCAAAGATCGTTGAATATCTCGGCTCTCCCTGCAAAGCGCGAGCTAAAACTTTCAGGAATTGATATGTGGATCATCCTCAATTTGTGTACAAAATTTGAAGAAAATCTGACAATGTGAGCGTACCAAGATTCCAACACATTACCACCGAACTTACTAATACTGTCCCGTTTCTCTTTGTTCATTGCAAATTTTTTAAATACGTTCTTCTTTTTCTCCACATGTAAAAATGTCGGGTAAATAAAGTATAAAATTTATAGTAGTAAAATCAATTACGAGTCCAAGTAATGTTCAAAGACCAACGCAAAATTATATTGCGTCCTCAACTCGCTTTATATTTCCATTCTGCTCGAATGGAGTTATAAACGCCTGTCTTAGGACGCCGAAGGAGCTGGTCCGGTCCGATGGGCATCTCTCCAAAAGTCGGAATATTAATGCCCTTTCATGTATATAACGTGCATAATATTCGAAAATGACATACGTTTTGTATAACCGGTTTGTTTTTTGAGTCGGAAATATCGCCGTTTGCTCATTTTTTTCAGTTTTTTTTTGATTTTTTTCCAAATTGAACATTTTTTTTAATTTCCTATATTTTCAGTCTGTCGGAAAAGTAATGGGCACTATGTCGCATCGAAAAGCGCATTGCCGCCAAGAAAATGAATTGTCGCGACAAAATCAAATTGCTTTTCACTGCAGCGATCGGCGCAGCGACATTGTGCTCATTATTTTCCCGACAAGATGATAGTCTTTTCATAATGTGACCCTTGTCTTGACCTAAAAAAAGATAAGAAGTGCCTATAAGGCCTGGACAAGCTGTTGGACCGGCGCAGGCTCGGCGAAGGCCCGGCGGCGGAGACTTGGCGTAGACTCTAAGTATGCCTCCTTTTTTCTATTTTTAGCTATTAACTAATGTAAAACTTTTTTTACCTTGAGTTATTGTATCATGTAAAGATTATTGGTGTGAGTACTTTAAAATATACCTCAAAATAGGTGATTAGCTATCTTAGATTTCTACTAACAGGGGAAGTACTCCAAGTGCGAACGTGGAGAGCGGTCAGAGAGAAAAGCGCTTTTTGGCTATAACTTTGGCAGTTTCGTGCGGAGAAATTTGATTTTTTGTAGAAACATTATCCTTCACGGTTGAAATAGGCATGAAACTTTTCGTGCCGAAATTCGGCAAAAAGTCCTAAATTTTCGCCGACTTTCGATCTAAAAATCTCGGTTGTTTCTGCAAAGCGCGAGCTAGGATTCTCGCATGTATCTTAGAAAAAATTATTCTAAATTTGTGCCAAGTTTCATCAAAATCTGAGCGTCGCACTTGGAGTACTTCCCCTGTAAGTAAGCCTTTTCCTACCTCCCCATGCAGCCATAGTTTCGTTGACCCGAACTGTCACTGACCCGAAAAGTCGTAGCACCCAGTCAGGCATATGCCTTGGCAAAAGTTAATATAAAATTTTTGACAAATTTCATCAAAATCGGAGTGCCTTACTTAGAGTATATACTATAATACACACTGCCAACATTGAAGTCAAAATGCGGGGGAAAATTTGAAAATTAGGATCTATTTGAACACCCGGAAGACTAAACATTTTATTGAAAAATTATTTCCCTGGAGTATTTGTTACTTTTTCATATACCACTTCCTTGTGTAGTCAAAAATTTTTCACCTTGTAATAACTTTTAATCTCTCGTCAATAGAACCCACTTTTCTCGGCGTAAACAACGATTACTTATTCATGCTTTTCCTCTGGCCCTGAGGGAAAATCGAGAAGACCCAGTCGAAAAATAGGGCGTATTTACCTCTCACATTTGATTTATGGTATTTTTCGTACATCGCCGCGAGTCGTTGAGCCGTCGGGGTTTCTAGAAAGGTAAAGGGGCATGAAATTCCTTGTTGAAGTTGCTTGAATGTATTCAGACATGGCAATCAGGGCGGCCTTTTGGAGGCTGGAAAACGGGCCGGGCCCTAATTTCTTTAGAATTGTACCGCGCATAGGAAATTTTTGTTTTCGCGCAGTGGATGTCGCTAAAAATCGGTTTTTTCATGTTCAAGCGATTCGTCTTGCATGTTCCATTTTCTTCAAAAATGAGCCTTTCCTGCATGTTCGAGTTTTTGTCTTTCCTTTCACTTTTACAGACTTAGAGACTTATTAGTCCTGACCGCTCAATCACAAGAAAAATGAGTGGTCAAAGAGCTCGGCATAACCAATAAATCCGTGAGACCCCCCGTGTGTTTTCCTAATTTACACGCTATTAATATGGCGTATATACACATGTAATCTTTTGAGGACATTCTACGCATAAACATATGCATAAACTTTTCAATCCCAAAATTTGCTAACAGGGGAAGTACTCCAAGTGCGACGCTCAGATTTTCTTTAAATTTTGCACACACGTCGGGCATGGACTAAATACCAATTCCCGAAATTTTTAGCTCGCGCTTTGCGGGCGCCGCACGTCAAACTGAGACAAGCTAAAACAGTCCGGTGAAAGGATTGGCAATTTGCCAAAGAAAGACACGAAAAAACGTTTTGTCGGGGGAGAAATGGGGAATTTTTGGGGCGAGAGAGTAAGTTTTTGCGTGTCTTTTTTCTCTCTTTCTCTGCGAAATAGACGAAGTGTAAAAAACCGATAGCGAAAAGTCTATTCGGGTCACCGGACTCTTCAGTTTGACGTGCGCCGCCGAGATATCAAACGATTTTTGCCGCCGAGAGAGCACGCTAAACGTGGAGAGCGGTCAGGGAGAAAAGCGCTTTTTGGTCATAACTTTGGCAGTTTCGTGTGGAAAAATTTGATTTTTGTAGAAACATTATCCTTTACGGTAGAAATAGGGATGAAACTTTTCGTGCCAAAATTCGCCAAAAAGTCCTAAATTTCGCCGACTTTCGATCTAAAAATCTCGGTTGTTTCTGCAAAGCGCGAGCTAGGATTCTCGTATATATCTTAGAAAAAATTATTCTAAATTTGTGCCAAGTGCCATCAAAATCTGAGCGTCGCACTTGGAGTACTTCCCCTGAAAGCAAGCTCATCCAACGCGATTGGCTCAGCGACATTGTCCTCATTATTTTCCCGGCAGACTGATGTGCAAAAACAGAAAAAAATTTTTGATCCTATTATATGTAGGATTGATTACAATTAAGTAACGAGAGAAACCCTTGAATGGCGTTAAAGGAAGCTTACAATATTAGATGCAAATACGAATACAGTGGTCGTTGTAATCGGCTTAGTGACGGCGTCGTATCCGCTTTAGTGCTGTGGGGGTAAAGCTTTCTTTTTGAAACTGACAATGGAGAAGAGGGGATCCAATCCACTAATCTTTGCGAGATGAACGGGAAGTGCGACATTTGGGGAAATTGATTCGAAACAAAAGTGTTTTTCCGGCTGACCCAGTATGCATTTGCAGCGTGATCTTTGCAGCCGAAGCACACAAGGCCTCAGAGCAAAAAAAATATAATAATTCGACCTTTGAACCACCGAAAAACAAGTTAATAGCCACGGTCTTTATAGCCATATGTCAAGGCTTAATAATCGTAAAAGCGCTTAACAAAGGCAGTCCATTCCGGTTGTTTGTTGTTGTTCGGCTGTGGCCAAATTACCCCCTTTTATGAGCTCATCCGTTTTGCAAAAGGGACGGTCTGGAACGCTAATCTCTGACTGCCTAAAGGACAAGGGGAAGTTCCTCAAGTGCCTCTTTCAGATTTAAAAAAATTGGCACAAATTTAGAATAATTTTCTCTGAGGTACAGTGGGGGAACTGATCCAGTGGCAAAAAACGTAAGATTTTGCATCCGGGAAGTATCAAAAATGTGGCAAAATGCTTCCCTCTCCAAGTGAAAAAACTTTGTTTTGAACGGCGCGCCCTTTTTCTTCACAAAAAGAGCGGGCGCGCTTTTGAAATCTTAACGTTAGTTAGTTTTTTCACTTGGAGAGGGAGGTATTTTGCCACATTTTCTGAAGCTTCCTGGATGCAAAATAGTACGCTTTTTGCCACTGGACCATTTCCCCACTGTATAACCAAGTTTCCTAGTTCGCGCTTTGCAGAAACGACCGAGATTTTTGGTCGTTCCTTGGCTAAAACGTATCCTTTTTTTGCGAATTTTGGCATACAAAGTTTTATAACTGTTTCTCCCAATGTAGGTAATGTTTCCACAAAAAATCAAGTTTCATGCGAAACTGGCAAAGATACGGCCTAAAAGCGTGTTTTTCTCTCTGACCGCTCTCCTCATTTCACGTACTCTCCCGGCGGCAAGGATGGTTGAATATTTCGGTTGCCCCTGCAAGCCAGAGCTAAGATTTCCAAGAATTGATATGGGGACAAAGCTCCGTATAGTCAAATTTTCAATTTAGCCAAGATGACGAACATGACCGCAATATGACGTCATTTTGAAAAATTCTAGTAAATTAGCAACCCTCGATCGAAAATCGGCGAGAATTTGAAGCTTTTTGCCGAATTTCGGCACAAAAGTTTCATGTTTATATCTACCGTAAAGTATAATATTTTCACAAGAAAATCAATTTTTTCGCGTAAAACTGGCAAAGATACGGCCTAAAAGTGTTTTTTTTCGCTCTGACCGCTCTCCGCATTTCGCATACTCTCTCGGCGGCAAAGATCGTTGAATATCTCAGCTGCGTCTGCAAAGCGCAAGCTAAAATTTTGAGGAATTGGTATATGATCCATACCCTAGATATATGCAAAATTCAAAGAAAATCTGAGCGTCGCACACAAGGTATTTATCTTCTTAATCTACAGGGTTCACACGTAAAAAGCGGCGGCGTCAAATCTAAATAATTAATCAACGAAAACGCGGGGGATTTGCGGTGGATTTGCGCTGCGAAAGCGGTTACCCGGGTAACCGCGACATGTTCTGTAGACTATTATTTTTTCCCCTAATTTCTTCCCGGAAAAGAGGGCGGCCGAAAAAGGGATCTTTTTGCGCTCTTTTTCGGAGGGGTTACCTGGAATTTTTCTTGTTTTTTCGTATGTTACATCTATATGTCGTCAAATGGAGGGTGTCGTGTGTATTACTGGGGCATTTAGAGGGTGAAGGAGGAAGGGAGTACGCACTTTTAGCGCGGTGTTTGGTAAGGAATTCGACGATGTTTACAATTGCTTTGTCTTCTATAGTCGTTCCAGCTAGTGCTTAAACTTTTTTCGGCCTCTTTTTTTGCACTGCATCTGTGCATGTTGCGCGACGCAACCCTTCTCGAAAAATTTTGCATTTTGCAATTTCTTGCTGGCCCAAAATGCGCGCCGACTCCGTTAAAGAAGAGGGCGTCGCGCGACAATTGCGGCCAACCACTTTGCGGGCAAATTTTTTGCGGGAAGCCACTTTGCGGGCAAAATTTGGGGGGTCACATTTGCGGGCAGCTGAGAGATTTGCGGGCAGCCGACATCTGCGGGCAACAGGAAAAGACAAGCACAATGTCCCAGCCTGTCTGCAAATGCCGGTGCTTGAAGGAAAGGACGCGCCTTTCAAAGCGGAGGTTTTTAGCTTAAAAAAGGGAAGGGTTTGGAGACGTTTTCATCCCTTCCGGGATGCAAAATGGGACGTTCTTTGCCATTGGATCAGGTCCCTCACTTTACACATATTTCCCCTCTACTTATTCGTCATTTCCTTTGTTATTATAAAAGCTTGAAACATTTTTATTAAAAATCACGCATTACTGAAATTTCTGGTGTTTTCGTGTATGTATACATCTACATAAATGTGTACGTAATTTCACAATAAAATTGTGGAAATTCCGCGTTTTAACCCTAGCCGGTTTTCGCTCTTCCAGGTGTTCTATTTCATACTCAAACACTTGTGCAAAACAAATGCTAATCGTATTTTTCCCCAAATTGAATTTGAGTCAGACGAAAAAGTTTGGTTGACCTTTGGGCGTCACATAATACTGATATTTTACAAGGTTTAGAAACATTTACGTGCGCAGTAGAAGTTTGCTTCCATTTTTAAAAAGTGCGGAGACTTTGTTTTGTAGCTATGGAGGCAGCGCAACAACTCCGGATTGATTTTGAAATGTTTCAGACAGTTTGGGCAGAATGCCAAAATTCAGGGTTTCGTTGTGGGAGAAGTAAAATCTGTTCGCTTTTGTGGTAGGAGAAGATAAAACACACGAAACAAGTCTGCGTTCCATCTTTTGCATAAATTAGAGAAATCTGGGCAGAATGCCAAGTTTCAGGGATTCGTTGTGGGACATACCAAAGCCGTACGGATCGGCATTTGATGACGGTAAAATACGAAGCAGCGTTTTTTTCCGAATTTTAAATCACATTGGCAAATTTGGGCAGAATGCCAAGATTCAGGATTTTGCTGCGGGATAAGTAAAATTAGCTCGAATTTGAAGTAAAAATAGGGAAAATATCTGCTTGTCGGGAAAATAATGTTTATTTGTGGTTGAAAAATTTCTCATCTAGTTGCAGTCTGACT